TTCTGCACAACACAATTCACACTTTTCTCATTTTCAAAGCTGCAGGGATCCTCACCTACGTCACTGGCTCTGTGTGAACTTTGTGGACCATTGTTTATCATGTGTGAGGTTATAAAACTGAGAATAAATAGGAATACTAAAATAACAAAGTGTATATGTAAGCAGTGTAATAATGAATGACTGAATATGGGTTTTTCATGGTCGCTGGCAGACTAGTTGTTTAGAGTCCAGAATATTTTAGGGCTTAAATGTAGAGTTGCTTTTGATAAGATTCCCCAAATAATGTAATTTAAATTTACTGCTAAATCATCCACAGAGTTTGGTTAGTTGAAACCACATATTGGCCAATGGCTGATATGTTAAAAGTGCAAATATCAGCCTAATATATCGGTCTGTCTCTACCAGTACTGCATTCTGAGTATTTGGAATACTTACACTTTAAGGTGCATTGTATTATAAAGTAAAACACGACGTAAACAACTTTTTTTTGTAGCACAGCCTCTTCTGTATTATTCATCACTGTTTAGAAAAAAGAAAAATCTCACACACCACAAGAGCCACGTTTTCTATTTTTATTTTTCTCATTAATGCCTTTGTCCACACAGCTGGTTAGCCTCTGTGACGTCATTCGACTCTTAATACTTGATTTTTTTCAGTCAATGCGAAAAATGTGTGGAGGATATATTTTTGGAGCCAGAGCAGACTTCGAAGTGGGCGGCTCTGTTGAGCTCCATAGTGTAATGCCATAACATTTGGAAACTTATACTTATAACAGACACTTTTGAGGAAGAAGGGATATTTTGGGGTTAAATGACTCTAATTAAAGGTTATCTTGTTTATGTTTTATATTGTCATGTTTTTATGTAAATATATATGTCATATTGCCCAGTCTTAGGCCTCATCCACACTAGTATGTATTTGAATTGTTTTCGTTGTGGATGCAGTGTTCGTGCACACTAATCCGATTGAAAACGACTCCAGAGAAGGAACGATCTGGTGCCGCCAGCTCCCATAAATTCATTTCAGTACGAATCTGATCCGGCACTGTGTGGATGCCTGAAGACACTGATACGCTGATGTAGGTCTACGCGCCGCAAAGTAATTCACCACCAAAAATGCTAAGAGGCTAGAATATATGTCCATTCATATAGACGGTCTATGTGTGACCTGCAGATGTATAATCTCATCTCCAACGTGATAGAAGCACAGAACAGACTCACCATCAGCAGAACATCCCTCTGTCACAGAAAAAAACACGCATATTCCACTGAGTTGTGTCCTTCAGTCCAACAAAAGCTGAACAGTGCACAATAGCAAGCTGCTTTTTGAGTGCTCAGTTCATACAAATTAGGTTTTAAGTTTCATTTCTGTAAAATGTAAACAAATATTCAGAAAGGTGTGTGGATAGAAAAGGCTTGCGGACACAGAAATGACATGTCCGGATGCAGGTCGATACGATGATATGGTGATTCGTTTCAGTGTAAACTTAGTCTTAGGCGGTTTTATATTTCATGGTTTGATCATATACATTCAGAGGCAGCACTACCATTAGGCAACTGTTGGCAGCCGCCTAGGGCCCCCGAACCTGGAGGGGCTCCCAACCAATTGCCCTCAATGCTACTAATGGCCGAGACCTCAGAGCAATTTGATTTTCTCTCAATATGACATTAAATGAGAGTAGTTTCCTTTAAACAAGAACACCATCAAAATAGTATCTGATTGTCAAATCTATTTTAATCTGTCAAAACATTCCCCCCTTTCACGTTAGAATGGACTAGTCAGCTTGACCCTGACTTTAACATAATCATAACATAATCATAATCATATGGAATGGATGTAAACAAAAATCTAATTGTACTAGCCAAAAATAAAGCTACTTTCAGCTCTGGTTATCTAGTAGGCGACCGAAATAATAATACAAGTATCCAATCCACCATACTTCAAATAGAGATGTGTGTGTCTCAAGAACAATGGGGGAAAACAGACAATAAATATTAAAAAACAAAAACAAAAAACAGTGAATTATAGTGAGAGCCCCAAACTCAAGTTCGCCTAGGGCCCCGAAATTGCTAACCTCGCCACTGTATACATTTAGTAAAATTACACACTGATTTTCATTTGTATTTATCTGTTCTATCACAATCAAATCATTCTCAACTCTCAGTAATCCTTCATGTAATTCCCTCTGTCTGTTGTTTTTCATGCTCAGTGCCACTTTTGCAATATGTATGGGGTAGAACACAGTGTAAACATTGTGAGGGCGGACCTGGAGAGGGATTTGTTGCGAGACACACTATAGCATCAAAGACTCCAAAACTAAGGTTGAGGGAAGGGGGGCTGTTTTTCTACTTTTGCTGCACTGCGCATCCACAGGCTTTCAGCTTTCATCTGACGCTGGCTCGGCTACAGAATGCTAAATTGAACATAATGAAAAATTCCCCTTCAATGCTCTGATCTCATTTTAGTCGTTTTAAAATTGCCTCTCTTCTGACTCATGCAGTGACAAACGAGGGAATAGTTTATTGAATAGAGGGTTTGTGGTGCTTAGACTCAGGCTTGTAGAGATATTGATAATTAATGATCACAATTAGCGAGTAGGTATTATAGGAACAGAAAATTAAAATGAAAATATTTCCTAATGCATAAACTCTATAACAAATTAAGTATTTAAAATCAATCAGTATCACTTCATTTGACCCTGAGAGGCAATTTAAAGGTGCACTGCGCAGCTTTTCCGTTGGAGGGTCAGTCACCTGCTTGTCTCCATGGAGATGTTATTGCTTTGCCTGGAATGTTTCATGGTATGACATTGAACACATCTATCTAGCATTTATTCATTGTGGGTTTTCTGTTGCTTAAAATATAATAATTCTCTGTGTGAATAGGGTTGCCTCCCCACAGATCTGATGTGTAATGTAGCCTAGTTGTCCCTTGAGTTGAGTAAGTCTACCATGGAACATTCTAGACAAAGGAATAACATCTCCATGAAGACAAGAAGATGACACTGAGAGGTAAAATACTAAAATACTAAAATACTATTGTTGAAGAAGTTTTCAGCTTATCCAAGAAATGATGGAAGTAAAAGGCTGGAGACCAACTGGACGTCTTAAGCAGGAGAAGTTTATTTATCATCAATAATACAAGCCTGGGGGGGGGACATAAAAGAGAAAAGTGAACATAGTATGATTTCAAAAGTGAACACAGTATGATCTTTAAGTGTTCAAGCCTCTTTGACTAAGCTTCCAAAGGAGGAGGTTTATAAAGCAAGTGTGGTGAGACTATGAAGGCCAGTAGACACCGGTTAGACAGCAATATGCCACAATTTAGATAATGGTATGCCAAGGGAAGATGATCGTGTTACTATAGCTCCTGTGAGTCAATGTTAAACTAAGAGATGTACATGAAGGATAAATTACTTAAATTCTTTTACAACTATAACTATAAAGCTCAAAAAAAGTCTTAGTGCAGCAAAACGGATAACAGTTATAGTCATCAGATCCTATGTCAGGGCAGTTTGAGGACAGTAAAAGCACTCAGGACAAATGTGTTTTTCCTCTCTGTCCTCTGTGTCCTGCAGCCCAGGCGTCACAATCAGCCTCTGTGACAGGAGTGGGCAATTATTTTTTCCATGGGACCACGTGAGAAATCAAAGCCAAAATGGTTAACTTAATTTTACATAATTCATTATTGTAAAAAGAAAGCAGTAAATAGCATTGTTTTGTTTTGGTTCTGGTAAGAGTTTATGTTATGACTAAGCAATGAAAAAGTGAGGTTGCCTTTATAGAAAATGTCATTAAAAAAACACCTCTAAAATTAAAGCAATGCAGCTTTAGTCCATGAATAAAGTAAAGTTTTAAAATATGTTTATTTTGTAATTCCAGGTGTGAAATAAGACATAATTATGTAAATGTATATGTACACATCAAAATAAATTAGAAAAATAACTAATAAAATATAAAATCAACAAAATACAATACAAGAAATATAAGAAAAACAAACTGCTCAAATCACACAATCCAAAAAGTCTTTAACTTCCCTTTTCCTTCCTTTGAACTGTACAAGCTGCCCTTCTTAGTTGGTTAATATCCCCAAAGTTATTAAGTTAAAATCTAAGATAAAAATGTCAAAAGTTTAAAGACTACTCATTGTGGCAGCCGGTCAGCCACAAGAGCAGCCAACCACAGTCATGGCAACCACAGAAAGCCGACAAAATGTAATGTTTAGTCTCTCATTTGTCCAGGAGTGGTCTAAGGTTTCAAAGGTAGAGATCTGGACAATGTTTTCAAATCAAATCATTTTCAATTTAATGGTTCTGGTCTGAGACAATAGGATTTATTTGACTGACTTCTGGATGAGTCTAAATGTCTGTTGTTCAAAAACTGTGTCTCTCTGAAACCTCTTCTTCTCTCAAACTGCCCAAATAAACTAAAATGAAAATTATGCTGTCTCTTACATTATCAATGTGTATCAAAAATGCATATTGAATCTTAATATATAATTACAAAACTGTTAAAAGGCCCATATTATGCCATTTTCTGATCTATGTTATGTTGTTTTCTCAACAAAAACCTACGTGGAGTTGTGTTTTGTTTCATTCACACATGTTTAACACACAAACTCTGCATATATTTAGGCTTGAGTTTTTATCTCAAACAGAAAATACTCAGTTTAACCTTGCAAGGTCAAGTGGTATTACGAAAAAATGCTCCATACAAACTTACTACAATCATTTGGACAATTTCAGCTCTGAAATAGCCAAGCTTTACTAAACAAAAGGTAAAATGTAGTTGCTTCATGACATCACAAGGTGGAACAGAGCATTTTAAGCTTTGGTGATGTAGACAGAATAATAATCAAGCATTAATCAAACGTGTGAATGAAACAAAACACAACTCCAGGTCTGTTTTTAATGAGGTAACAACATTATAACATGGCTTAAAGCTCACTAAAGTCAAATTTGTGTAATACCTTTAAGGCCTAATCTGTATTTGTGTTTTCAGGGCTATCTGTCTGAGGGTCTGGTCACCAAGTGGTACTGCTCACCCCGCCTCCTCCTGTCGCCCAACAACTACACCAAAGCCATCGACATGTGGGCAGCCGGCTGTATCCTGGCAGAGATGCTCACCGGGAACATGCTGTTTGCAGGTAAATGAACACAACATAAAGCAAAGAAAATATATAATGCACTAAAATGGATATGATGCTGTTTGAACACATTTTGGACACAGTTAAAGCAGCATTGCATGTTTATGGAACTTCTAAAAGCTTATTTGTCTTCTAAAATGTACGTTACTCCAAGTCAGGGCTGTACAATTAATAGAATCAGGCATTTCTAATTATCATTGATCAGCTTTTTAATGGAGATGTCTACAGTCAAGACTCAGTCAGTAAAAGATTGTGGAGGAAGAAAAGTGACTGTGTTTTGTTTGGACATTATTAAAGTCTGTTTTGTTGAAGAAAGAAATTATATTGAAAGCAATTTAGTTTTTATTCATTTGACAAAAAACATTTTGATTAAAAATGTAAGTCAATCAATATGAATCCGTGTATCATTCGTTCATTTGTTTTTCAATATAAAACCAAAAATAAGAAAACGAAAAAGAAAAAAAAAGTTTTCTTCATTATTTGTCTCCAAAACCAAAATGAAAAAAACAGATAACGATTTTTTTTTTTCAGTTTTTGATTTTGTGGTTAAATGAAAAATGGAAAAAACGGATAAGCCGTTTCCCGTTTACGTGACTTCCGTGACTGTGATGTCGCACATACTGCCGCGCATCGGGAACGAGTGACGCCATTTAAGGCATAATAACCAGACTTCTTTCCCGGGCCGTGGACAGAGAGGAGGCTGGCTGCGTAGAGAAGAGACCGGGAGAGGAGGAGGAGAGAACAGGAGAGAGGAGGAGGAGGAGGAGAGAACAGGAGAAGAGGAGGAGAACAGGAGAGGAGAGAGAAGAGGAGAGAACGAGGAGAGAGAGAGGAGGAGGAGGAGGAGGAGAGGAGGAGAGAACAGGAGAAGGGGAGGAGAGAACAGGAGAGAAGGAGGTGGAGAGAAGGAAGAGGAGAGAGAACAGGAGAGGAGAGAGAACAGGAGAGGAGGAGGAGGAGAGAACAGGAGAGAGGAGGAGAAAACAGGAGAGGAGAAGGAGGAGAGAACAGGAGAGAAGGAAGAGGAGAAAGAACAGGAGAAGAGAACAGGAGAGAGAAGAGAACAGAGGAGGAGAGGAAGAACAGGAGAGAGAGGAGAGAACAGGAGAAGAGAACAGGAGAGGAGAGAGAGAACAGGAGAGGAGGAGGAGAAAACAGGAGAGGAGAGGAGGAGAGAAGGAGAGGAAGAACAGGAGAGGAGAGAACAGGAGAGGAGGAGGAGAAAACAGGAGAAGAGGAGGAGAGAACAGGAGAGGACGAGGAGAGAACAGGAGAGGACGAGGAGAAGAGAACAGGAGAGGAGGAGAGAACAGGAGAGGAGGAGGAGAGAAAGAGGAGGAGAGAAAAGGAGAGGAGGAGGAGAGAACAGGAGAGAAGGAAGAGAGAGAACAGGAGAGAAGGAAGAGGAGAGAACAGGAGAGAAGGAAGGAGGAGAGAACAGGAGAGAACAGGAGAGAGAACAGGAGAGAGGAGGAGGAGAGAACGAGAGAGAGAGAAGGAGAGAGAACAGGAGAGAAGGAAGAGGAGAGAACAGGAGAGAAGGAAGAGGAGGGAACAGGAGAGGAGGATGAGGAAAGAACAGGAGAGGAGGAGGAGAGGAGTCGTGTCTTTCCGCTCGCTCCTCAGATCAGAATGAGCAAAAAAGTTCCGTGGCCCAAATCAAACTCTACAAATCTGTGCTGTGGCTCCTCTCTCGTTTAGTCAGATCATTAAAAAAAGTCACAGTTTGAGCCCATTTTCCGTGGTGTCGTTGCTCCATTGCTCTGGGATTAGAGGAGGAGGCGGGGGGACATACATGGAGGATGTTGCTCCGGTCGTGTTTGTACCTGTGTCTCTGTACCTGTGACTCGTAGTTCCACTCTGGTGCTTCGGGTTAAAGTTCCGCATCTTTTCGGCCTCATGTCTTTTCGCTTTTGGACAACAAGCCCAGGCTCACATACATTTATTCAATAACTGAGCTCTTATGAGACAAAAGTACAAACCTCAGCTAAAAAAAAAAAAAAGACTATTAAAAAACTAAAAAGATTATTATCTGAATATCACAACACATTTAACAAATGACATGACAGAAAAACCTGAAAACAAGACAGGCTATCCCATAAAACAAGTAGGACTTAGTAAAGAATAAAAATCAGGGACTGAGACTCAAAAGTGAAATCAAAGGCAATTTAAATTTATTTGAAATTTCAATAAATCACAAATCCGGTCACAGTCATCAAAAAAGAAACTCTGTTCTGTGTTTGAATGTTGTGAATCCGGAGGTCTGGGTCTTATATTTCTTCTCCAGCAGATGACGCCACTGCTCTGGGCGACGCAGGGTACTTGGTTCTTAGGTTTTCCTCTGTAAAACTCAGTCAAAGGTCAAAAAGTCAAAAGTAAAGCTCAGATTTCCCCAAATTTCATAATTTTGTTTGAGAAAGTTTTTTTTTTTTCTTTCTAAATTCTACACACATTACACATTTTATTCAACATTACAATATTTACAGATTTACAGAATAGTTTACAGATGTACTTTTTATTCTAGCAGCAGGAGGCATTCTGGTAATCACGACTAAATCAAACCTATAACTATAACTTAAATCCGTCTTTTATCTTGTAGCTTTAAAGTTGATACAGTCAGTATATTAAAGTGCATATGGAATGCTAGAAATCTTCATAAATATAATTGCTAATTTTATTTCCTGGTTGAACATAGACAGCAGATACAAAGCCAATTTCATAACTTTTACCTAGCAACAGCACTGTGAAAAAGGGGCGTGTCTAAAATTACACAATAGTTTAATACATGCATCACGAATTTCGGACTTCTGGTCATCGTGCAATGCATACTGGGAAGGATCCTCCGAAAAAGTGAGCATCAAACCGCCATGTTTGATTTCGCAGTGGGATGCATCTATTGTCAAAGCCAGTCTTTTCAAGTCTTTTGAACCATATCACTTTTGTTTCTGGTTCTGATATTGTCATATTTTAGTTTTGGGATTCGGACATCGTAATTGTGTGGATGTTGGATCCTAACAGCAGAAAACGGGCTTCCGAAGTATGCAAACTCCGTAAATGCAAAGGGGAATCAGATGAGTGTGACTGCAAACCTCCGTTCAAACTGTTTCCCTTCTCAACAGAATTGAAAAATAGTGAAAGGCAAAGATGATGGGCAGTACACACATACAGGAAGGACGAAAAAGTTAACCTTTGACTGCCTAAATCATCCTGAATTTGCAGGGAACATTTTGTATGTGGAGCTCCATCAAAGCGGGATCTCGTTTGTTAAGCGAGAGGTGCAGAAGACAAACAGTCTAAGCTCGCACTTTCTTGTTCTTGTGGTTTTACAGCAACATCACGTCTTGGTCGCTTTGCAGTGGAAGTTGTTTCTTGGTGAACAGCTGGTGCCTTCCGCTTTGGTGTTGACTTTTTAAATTTGTAGCCAAGGTTGAGTGAGGGATCGGGATTTTGCTTTGATGGCGCTCCACATACAAAATGTTTGCTGCAATCTCTGATGATTTCTTAGGCAGCCAAAGGTTACCAACACTGCCCATTGCCTTTGCCTTTAACTATTTTTCTATTCCGTTGAGAAGGGAAACAGTTTGAACTGAGGTTTGCAGTCACACACAGATCTGATTCCCTTTTGCATTTATGGAGTTCGCAAACTTCCGAAGCCCGTTTTCCGTTGTTAGGATCCAACAACCGCACAATTACGATGTCTGAATCCCTTAACTAAAACACAACAATATCAGAACCAGAAACAAAAGCGATATGGTTCGAAAGACTTGAAAAGATCGGCTTTGACAATAGACGCATCCCACTGTGAAATCAAACATGGCGGTGTGATGCTCACTTTTTTCGGAGGATCCTTCCCAGTATGCAGTGCGTGATGACCGGAAGTCCGAAATTCGTGATGCTTGTATTATTTCTGCATTTAAAAGTTTTGATAACAGACATATTCCTTTTTAGAACCACTAAGTCCTTTATTTGTGTGATTTTCTTTTCAACTTTTGTCCAGAAACTAACACAAAACTGATGTAAAACTATGATAAATATTCACCACAAGTAATTATCACCAAACCAAGTATAAATATTAGAAAAAGCTGCCATACACACTTTAAGATCGGGCTAAAAGAGGCAGGTTTTACGCCGAAGCAACCCTCTCCATTTATCCAGGCTGGGGACTGGCACAGAGGGACACACACAGCGCCCCCTGTGGCTGGATTAGACCCACCGCCCGTGTTTGTACAGAGTTAGTGTGTTAGTAAGTGCGTGCAGACATACTCACAGTAAACAGCAGCCACCTTTGGACCTGTAAAGACTCATTTAAAAGTTTAGTAAAACAGTTTAGAGCTGCAATGAGAAGAATCAGAAGAGTTAGGGTTAGAACTGTCATTTCACAAGACAAGCCCAAAACAATTTTACAACACACACAATGGCAAAATTAATGAAATTTAACCTTTAACCCTGTAAAGTAAATACAATGTTTAAACAGAAATATCAACGTATTTCAAACGAACAGACCCTGTGCAAACCTGTGGAAGAGTTGGATTAGGACACGAATACCAGACTTTCAGTTTAGTGTCAGGGTTAGGACCAGAGCCATCAGACTCTATAAAGCAGTCCAAATCTGGCCCACGCTTAGACCAGTTCAGACCAAACCAAATATAAAACATACACACAACCTAAAGATCAAGTCAGTTTTCAGAAATTTTTAACTCCAAATGAAATGTTGAAGGGTTAGTTTACAATAAGTAATATCAGTTTCACCCAACCATAACATGTTTTACCAGCCTGTTTAAATCTGGCCCATATTTAGACCAGTCGGGTCACACACCAAAAACACACAAGGGCCCAAGCCCCAAGTGCAACCTGTGGAAATTATGGTGTAAACAATTAATGTGGCCCACTCCACATTTAGACCAGATAAGACCAAGAGAGACCAGCAGTCTCCATAAAAGTGAGCCAATGTTTAGAATATAGCCCACTTTTGGACCAGTTTAGGCCCAAAACTAAAGCCTGTAGCATAAAATCCTCAGTATATTCAGGGCTTGTTTAGAGAGGATTCACACAGAAATGTCACCTACCTGAGTAAAAGTCTGCATGAACAGACCAATAAAACCGGTGAAGCCTGGAGCACGGAAAGATCCCTGTAAGATTATGTCAGACACAAATCCAATGCCAAAGGGTCAGAACTGTTACATTCAGACCACAAAAAAGTGACAGAACACAAGGGCCTCAACCCTCGGACCAAAACTCAAGTCAAGATGAGTGGCTGAGCACTCACAGCAAGAAGGTTCCTTTGTGTGCAGAATCTGCACAAGTGTATGGCAGCAGCTCACTGCTCCTGACAGGCTGCCCCAGCAGCACTTTGTTGATGATGAATGAGTCAAATGTAGAGGGAGAATTTCCCTCCAAAATTCCCTACTGAAATATATTGTACCTTAAGATTATTCCAAATGATCAGGTTTTAAAACGATGTCAGTATCATATGGCAGACATGTTTTAACTTTAGCTGTTTTCAAATAAAATAAACTAACATCTGCTACAGTTGTCGCAGATGATTTTCATGTCTCACAGTTGCAAGACACGAAGTAGATTTAGCTTAGATTAACTATGAACTAAATAACAAAGATAATAATATAATAATAATAATAAAGTGATTGCAGCAGTTCTTTAATCGTGCAAATAGAAAATACTTAAATGCTGCTTGTCAGCCTAAAGTATCTGCACATAAGAGTGTGAGTCTCATATAGACTTGAGATGATTTTGGCCAATTTGATATTTGGCATATTTTGAGAGAACAAACTGTATGTAATGTGAAATAAGGCAACAGCACCAACAGTTTATTGTACAATATCTACAATTTATTGTTAAAAACAGCAACTGTAGAGTTTTGAGTCCTCACAGAGGACACTGAGCACGGACCGTCTTCAGCCTGAAACAACAGAAAGAAAAAGTGATTTCACATCAGACTGAGCAGAGGAGTGTGCACTGACCCTTAAAGATTAGACACATGAACCATCGAATCCGTGTATCATTCGCTCATTTGTTTTTCAATATAAAACCAAAAATAAGAAAACAAAAAAACAACAGTTTTCTTCATTATTTGTCTCCAAAACCAAAATGAAAAAAACAAATAAAGATTTGTTTTTTCATTTTTCGATTTTGTGTTTAAATGAAAACACTTCCCGTTTACGTGACTTTCGTGACTGTGATGTCGGACTGAACCAGGACTGATCCAGGTCCGGGACCACACCGGGACCAGACCAGGACTGAGACCGGGACCAGAGACCGGGACCAGACCGGGACCAGAGCGGACTCCGAGCTTTGACTCCAAGCCTCCGCAGGGTCCTAGCCCCAGCTTCGAGTTCCGGCCCTGCCGTGGCCTCTGAGCGTCCGGTCTGGTCCCAGTCTCGTCCCGGTCTGGTCCCAGTTTAGTCCCGGTCTGGTCCCGGTCTAAGGATGCTTTCACACAGACAGTATTTGGTGCGCACCAAACGGTCCATTCGAACCAAAAGCTCTAAGTTCGGTTTGTTTTCATTGGCGTGAAAGCTTCAATCGGAATCGGACCAGCCCCAAATCAAGAGGACCACATCAAGAAAGAGGTGGTCTCAGTTCACTTGAATCCGCACCAAATACCAAATTTTGGTGCGGTTCCTCTGGTGTGAACACGAACCTGGGTCCAAACCAGAGACAGCAGGTCCAAACAAACTATTCCAACTAGCAGGAGCAGCTCCGGTTCAGGCCGGGCTCAGATGAGATGGAGCAGGGAGTGATATTAGGAGCTTCGGCCTGAGAAGCGCTTTTTCCCGGGAAGAACCAAATGCGCGGAAGACGAATGGTCAAAACAATATAACCAACCAAACTGGACTCATGCTTCTGTCCGGATGCTTTGCACCACCTCGGAACCAGCCGCGGTTCTGGACCGTAGCAACCCGTCCGGACCTGTAGTCCACAGCGCATTCTCGCTTTCCCCGCACAGAAGCAGCATGCAGACGATGACACGGAACTGTTCGGACCACTGGTCTCGGTCTCAAACGAATTGTTATCCGTTTTTTCATTTTGGTTTTGGAGATAAATAATGAAGAAAACTGTTGTTTTTTTGTTTTCTTATTTTTGGTTTTATATTGAAAAACGAATGAACAAATGACACACAGATTAATATGGAAAAAAGAATTTGTGATACATTTATTATCATTTGGGAAAGCCCTTCTCTTCCTTGTCTGAAACTAAAATTGACAGTTATAAAATACAAGTGGCAAAACCTACAACATATCAAGTTACTTTAAAATTATGTATAGGCCTAAGTGACAAAATGTTACATGCCATATTGCAGCTTCATGCATTCATTCAATCAACACCTAGTGCCTCCTCTCATTTTCATTTCTCTCCAGTGACTAGGTCAGTGACTAGGGTCCCTTGTGTGGTACAGCACAAGAGTAAACAAAGCAGTTGAGATGGATGTAGACAAAGACATACATTCTGTGTTGGCAACGATTCCCGAGATCAAGGGTCTAAAGCCGGAACAAAGAAAATGTTTGGTGAATTTTATCAAGGTGATTGAGGTTATTGCCCTTCTTCCTATGGCAGCGGTCTCCAAACTTTTTCCCCCGTTGAGCTACTTTTACAAAATGAAAATACCAGAGAAAATGCCTTTTAGCGGTCAGGCCAGCCTTAGATGAGGTACAGTTAGATGCCTATAAAACATAAACCGTTATCTATTATCTTATTATCTATTACTGTTATCTAGCTACAGGTTGGAGATCCCTGTCCTGCGGGATTTGGGAAAAGGTTAATATACCAGTTAGCTCATTACATATGTCACGACCATATAGCAGCGATTGGTTAAATTTAAAAAAGTACCCACCTACCGTCAAGCGAACAAATCCTAATGCTGTGAGGTCAGATGGTATCTACGAAGTGAAACCGGCTGATGAATCAGGACAGGTGCTAATACCGTGGGTAAGATAAATTGAAGTATATCTTTGCATTCTGCTCCATAAACTCCTACCAATCACATAGGCACCACTTTTATTCAAGGTGGGTGAATACGATGAAACACTTCAGCCAAATCAATACAGTCCATGCCCAATTGATTTTTTGTTTAGTTTTTTATCTTTCTATCATGTTAATACGTTGTTCTCTCATCAAATACATGCTAGAAGAGGTTTGAGATGTCATCCATGCATGTTTTAGTATTTTAGCAATCTCTCTCATCTCCTGGGCCCTATTCGAACCCTCCTTATGGTCCTCCTCTCTCCATAAATATACAAAAACATGATACAAAACTACACTACATCTTGATGAAAAAAAATATAAAAAAATCAATATTAACTTATGTAATTGTTTGTCATTGTAATATTGTAATATTCTAAAAATATGTTGTACCAAGGTTAGTTCAATAGCGTGCACCAGAACTTTGTGTCCTTAAAGCCCATTAGCAGATTAGACAGCAGCACTACTTTCCAAACATAAAAATCTAACTTGGTGTTTAGTATTCACGAGACAAACTCCAGAGGCCAAGGGGAGTCTCATTTAAAAGCAGGTAGGGGTGAAAAACAGTCTATGAGATGCTCTTTTACACCAACAAACCAGAAGTTTCTGTCTGTTTTTCTTTGTGAAGACCTTGAGTTTCTGTGCGTGAGAGGAATATCAATTTTGACAGAGTTTGAGGGTGTCTTAAAATGTCTGACAGGCAGAACAGACCTCGGCTCCCTCTGCACCTCTGACTGGTTTTACACTGTTTCATCAAGTGCAAAATGTTATTAGACAATTACATGGATGTTTGGGATGTTTAGAGTTAGAAAGGGTAACTTTTAAGTTTTATGTTGTTTAAAACACCAGCATCACCATGTTATTATGTTGTTTCCTCATCAAAAATATACCAGTTGTGCTTTGTTTCATTCACAGCTGACAGACTCTGCATAATTTTTTAAGTTTTTCTCTCTGCTCCACTTTGTTTTTAAACTCTCATACACTTTCACTAGAATCATTTGGAGAATTTCAGTGCTGGAATTACCAATCTCTACTGCACAAAAGGTAAAAGGAAGCTGTTAACTTGAAAACTAAACCTTCATGACATCACAACTTGGAACAGAGTATTTTCAGATACAGACAGACTAATGATAAAGGATTTCTCAAACATGTGTGACTGAAACAAAACACAACTCCTGTTTTTGGTGAGATAACATTATAGCATGGCTTAAAGCTCATAAGAGTCATTTTTATGTAATATAGGATCTTTTCATTTTCTGATCTTGAGTAATATTAGTTTGAAATATCTTAGTAGCTGGAAAGGAGTTCAAATAAAGATGGGTGAAATTGTGGCAAAAAGAGCTGTATGAACAAACAAACAAACAGTATGTAACTTCCAAATAATATTTCTTCACTTTTGGGGGTGATGTGAGAGCCTGGTAATTCAACTCAGCCAATTCTTTTATTTATTTATTTGTTTGTTTGATTAGTTATTTATCTATTATCTATCTATTTATTTTGTTATTTTCCCCCTTTTTTTTAAACTTCTACTATTCTTTTACTTCTACTCTACTTCAGTTGTGTATATATGGTTTGACAGTATGAGCATGTTTCCCTGTACTGGTGCCCTCTAGTGGTGGTTATATTACATTACAAATTACCAGTGAATGTTGTGTTTGCGCGCTGCTCTCTGCAGTAATGTAAATGCATAATAACCATAATAACCAGTGATAATATTGAATTTACTGTAACAATAGTAACCCAAAACATTCTGATACACACAAACATGGAGAAATACTGATTTATTTTCATCTGCTTTAATTCAGTTTAATATATATATATGATATATGCAAATGTTTTACACTTGATTTAAATATTGCCCTAGAGCTCTGACATTTTCTCAAGTGCCTCCCTTTATATTCTAAGTCAAATTAATCGACCCTTCTTCATAAATCCCTCATGTCCTGCTCTGCTCTGTGTGTTTAGGGGCTCATGAGCTGGAGCAGATGCAGCTGATCCTGGACACAGTTCCTGTTCTCAGGGAGGAGGACCGACGAGAACTGTTGCGGGTGTGTAACTGTCTCATGTTTACTCTGTGAGGACAAATATGTCACTGGACTTGTACACTGAGCTTAAAGGGAGGCTATAGATCTGTGGCCTTTAAAAAGACCGGTAAAAAAAACACACACACACACACACCTGGGATGGGTATAACTCATGTGCTGTCTCATATGGAAGCTCAGACTCAGTCACTGAGCTGCAGAGGTTGCACTAGCACTGTTTAATGATTGACTATGGGTGCTGTGGTTTAGGTAGTAAGGATTCAGTTTCAGGGAGAAATTTTAGGTTTTTTTTTTTTTTTTTTTTCTAACTGGTTTAATGCAATGACATTGTTGGTTAAAATATGTCATACTGTGCAAAGACTGACTTGGAATATTATCATGGTTCCCCGATAAATATAGTGTCTCTGTGTTGTAGGTGATGCCGTCTTATGTCAGTGATGGATGGAGAGTGAAGAGGCCGTTCTCCGAGCTGCTGTCGGGTGTGGACCCTCAGGGTGAGTGACAGATGCACACACACTTTACTTTGGTGAGTGCTAATGCTAAGCTATCATTCAATCACTCACTGCTGTCACATCACACAGCCCCTGAAGAACAGATGTGGGGCTTGTCTTTTGGAACTCTCTATTCTCCCTGGGAGAATATAATTATTGTGCTTTCAGCACTTTTTAGTCTGAGCATGTAATTATAACAATAATGTTGGAGCTGATCCTGTGGCACAGAGCAGAGTTTAAGAAGCATGACTGGCGTGAGATGCCCTCCACAGAGCAGTTGTAACATTGTAATAGACTGTTTTATTTCCTCTGTAGCTGTGGATTTCTTGGGCCGTATCCTGACCTTTAATCCCATGGACCGGCTGACGGCAGAGGCGGCGCTGTCCCACCCGTTCATGTCTCCATACGCGTGTCCAGAGGACGAGCCTGTGTCCTCTCAGCCCTTCAGGATCGAGGATGAGCTGGAGGACAGTCTGAGCGAGGCCTGTCTGAGCCACTGCAGCAGCTCCACAAACTGGGACAGGTCTGTGTGTGCTACTGTTTATATCTCTGTGGTATAGGAGGCAAAGTGACCCTAGCTCCTGCGTTTCTCCTCCCTCCTCCCTCCTCCATAAACCTGGACATTAATAATTCAGAAGTCATGACGCAGACCGACTCATTGCTCTAGTCTGTACATTTTGGATGCACAAGTTAGAACACAGGCCAATTTCTTTCACAAAACATGATTCTTAACCTTCTTAATGTTAACCTTAACCTTCTTAAATGTAAGAATTTCTATTTTACATCAGGTTCTACTTCTCTTTGTCTTGTCATCTTACGGAATGTGACAGAGATTTTTCCTTCTCTTTGTCTTGTCATCTTACGGAATGTGACAGAGATTTTTCTAAGACTCTCTCTCTCTCATGTTTCTCTCTGTAGGTTTGGGAACAGCCTCTCCACAGACTTGTGTTGGCAGCACTCGGGGGGCCGGTGCCGCTGTATGCCCCCCAGTATCATGACCTCTGACCTGGGTGACACAGAGGACGAGGAGGTGCAGAAGGACCCAAGGGCGAACTCTGCTACTCTGATAGAGGAGGCGCAGGTAACAGCATGCTAGAAAAGTTTTAGTCTTGTTGCCTTCATCAGAGCTTTTTTTCTTTTCAACAGCTAATTCTTAGTTCGAACCATATCTAACATGGATTTAATGTTTTTATGTTATTGCCACCATGTATTTTTTCAGGTGGACCCACGCAAATACTCCCATAGCAGCTCTGCCGAACGGTTCTTGGAGCATTCGCACTCGTCCCTGGATCGGGCGTTCATGTCCGGGGATCTGGACTGCGGCCGCTCCTGTGACTACAAAGTGGGCTCTCCCTCTTACCTGGACAAAATCGCCTGGAGGGAGGGAAAACCACAGCACTACTCTGAACCCAAACTCATTCTAGATCTGTCCCACTGGAAACGCAATACCAGCAGCAGCCTGAACGTCCCGTCTGAACCAGTAGGGGGCAGCGTGGAGGACGTGGAAATGGAAATGAAGACTGAAGAGGAGGAGCAGGGAAGTGGCGATTTGTTCCAGGAGATTTCACGTTGGGTTGAAAGCACGCAATCACGGCTTCACTCACCCTCTCCTAGCTCGTTAATAGAACCAGTTTTTCCTAATTGCTACACTTCCTCTCCTCCTTTACCCCTTTCTCCGACCGACCAGCAAGCTCCAGTCTTCCACTACACAGAAGTTATCCAACCTCCCTCGCCCGAATTTGAACGCTCACCGAGTCCAATTCCTCCTAATACCACCTCGTTCACTTCGCTTCCTTCCCTCGTCCCCTCATCTCCTACCTGCATCATCCTCCCCCGCTCGCCCGCCTCCCCCGCCTCTCGCCCCATCTCTCCGCGCTTGTTCCCTCTCCGAAAATGTTCCCAGAATTCCTCGACTTCCTCCATGTCTCAAAACGACGGATCGCTGGAATCGTTGCCCGTTAAGCAAAAAGAGCACCTGTTTAACCTGGACGTGTTTATCTCCAAAGCGCTGAAGTTGTGCCGTCACGCGAAAGATAAAACGGAGGGGAAAGAAAGCGAGGGATGCAGGTTGGAAGGACGACAGCAAACAAATGGGAATAAACCAAAAAGTGCCAAGGCTTCCAGAGCATCGGACTCCTCCACCACCCACCCCGCACTCATAGGAGGAACAGTAGCTTGCATCTCAATTTTTTTTATTTTGTTTTATTGTAAAGAATGAACAATATTATTAGTTAAAATGACTTGAAATCAGATCATATTGATTTAGAAGTTTTGATTTATTCACTATTGGATCTAAGTTGAAACTAGTTTGAGTTTCACTTGCAAGAACCATGACGAGAACCACCGAGGGCATAGGTTTGGTCTCAGGTTTGGTGGGGACATTATCAGCTAAACTCCCCATGAAACCAACTGATAGGTTACTTGATTAACAGATTAATTATATAATATTGTTTACTTTTCATATGATGAACACTGCAAAAAACAAACAGCACATCTTTATAAGAAAGGGTCAAATTTATGAATTCTTTCCAAAAACACACAGAGTCTGGGCAGGTCCAAGTGAGAGGTGGTTTCATTTTTCAGTTTGCAAAATGTTCAGTTTGTGTCCATTGCCATTCTAAGATGATTCTTTACTGAATAACAGAGATGTAGAAGTTTGTAGCAGGTTTTCCTTTGCTTGTTGGTGATGAGATATTTGTGAGGTCATGTCCATACCTTTTTCCATGAAATATTGTCAGTAGAGTCGGGCTGCTAACAGCGCACGAGTAGGGCACCGTTTGGGAGGTGCACTTGTGGTGATGATACTTGCTCTTTTTCTGTGGCGACTCATTATAAGGTGAGTTTAATTGAAGATGAAGCCCAGTAAGTTTCTTTTGAAAAGTTTTTCAAAGTTTGGTGCAGCGTCTTCACTCACGCCTGCTCAAGCCGCCATCTTCAGGTGCGGCCCTGTCCTGTCGCTTCCCCAGTTTAGGCTCCAGGCTTCACCAATGACATCACTCTGTTACAGCCAATGAAATAGCGGCAGGTGTAACTCTGTCGTCATATCACTGAATACATCTCAGAATCTCTAATAAACAAAATGTGAACTAAAACATGTTAAATTAATACTATTGAGTTTGGAAAAATATCAGAATAAATGTATATTTTTGTTTATTAAAATAAAATGGCAAATATGCGTAGCGACTATTTTGTCTTCCCCAAATATTGGTTGTGACATGTCTCCACCGTCCCTACGCAAACCTACGCCCTTGCACACCACAACAATGTAATACAATAAGGATATTTTTGACGATGGATAGATGTGATGGCTGAGAGGAGACTTTGGATGGGACCTCCCTCCTTTGTCGACGATGTCTTCAGGCTGAGATGAGAGACACGAGGTGGGAGGGAGGGGTTCCAGAGAGCAGAGACAGACGGTGTTATTAGGATAGGCCTGTATAAATACGGCTTCTGGGTAATTGACGCTGTGGTTGAGCTGAGTTGTGGTTTGTTGGAGAGGAGCAAGGGGAGGCTGAGGCGTGGTCCTGCTCCTGAATCTCTTGTTGGTAGGGTTATTATTAATATTTTTTTTGGTTCATTTTAAAAGTAAAAACTAATAAAACAGATAATAATATTGTTCACAAATACTAGTTTTTGTAATTTTGTTTTACTGGGATTGCTGTTTTTGGTGCTTTCTCCTACCATGCATATTAGCACTAGCCTGATTCATCAGCCGGTTTCACTTTGTGGAAACTGTCTGACCTCACAGCATTAGGATTTGTTTGCTCGACAGTAGGCGGGTACTTTTTTTATTTAACCAATTGCTACTTTTTGGTCATGACGTATGTACTGTACCAAATCCTGTAGGAAGAAGGGCAATATCATCTTTCCCCTTGGTAAAATTCACCAAACATTCTCTTTGTTCTGGCTTTAAATCCTCGATCTGGAGAATCATTGCCAACACAGAATGTATGGCTGCGTCTACATCCATTTTGACCGCTTTGTTTACTGTTACCACAAAAGGGACCAGGACAGGCACTTGATTTTGACATTATGGCTTCACAGCTCTTCGCTGATTGGCGGGGTTCTTACAAACCGTCTAGTGTATTTTAATTTAGTCGCTGGAGAAAAATGAAATTGAGTGGAGGCACTAGGTGGCGCCAGCCTGGTTATATTAGCACCTTATTCAACTTCAGAATAATATTACAGATTGTATTCATGTTGAGTTGCATATTTTACTAAACACACTTTTACACTTACTTTAGATAGGCGCCATACATTTAAATAGAAAGTAAAATTTAAAATGTATACATTTATACTGTATATTTGCCAGAATTACATTATACTGGAATTACTCCATACAAAATCCCAAAGTAACTAAATATGACAATCCACTGCTGAATCAATATTATAATTCTGAATTCAAGTCATTTCACATAATGTAGATAAGACCTCCTTTTTGCAATGTAGTGCTCAAATCAACTAATTTTTAAACTTACATTTTGTTTTTAGCATTTGGGGAAATTACTGAACATGGATTGTTTCTTATTTTTTAGCAAATTTCATATGGAAACTGATTTGCACTTGACTGGAACATTTGGTTGTAATCTAAGGATTTCGTTAACAATGTTTTAAAATGGGATTGACAGCATAGATTGTATAACTTTACACATTCAGTTTATAATACGTTAAATGGGTCAAAATCCTTTCACTCAAAAAAAAAAAGTGTCCCACTGAGTGCAATAGATGTCAATCCAACTGCTTTGAAACAAAAACAAAAACACAAGTCTTCCAAAGGTGTTACTCACTAAAAGTCTAATTTCTTATTCATATTATACAAATGTTTTGACAGATGCTGATAGTGCAACTGATGCATTACAAAGTTGTACAAAATGTGAAAATTATGCTCAGTTGGTTCATTCACATATTATTGAAGACTGTTGATAGTGACGTGTGTGTGTGTCTGCAGTATTTTAAAAGTGCTATTGTCATATATGGTTCATTTGGTGAGAGTTGTCTTTCAAATGTAGAGTTATGTATAATATAACTGTTTTAAAGGTGCACTATGTCACTTTTCTGGTGGAAGGTCTAAACCACTTTGCCTGAAATTTTGCCTGAATATCTGAAATATCGCATTGCACTTTTGTAAAATTCTATATTTATTTAATTATAGGGGTTTTCATTACTTAATCATTTCTTTAAAAATAAACAAGAATACAATAAACATAAAAAATCACATGCTATTACGTTCTAAAACAAGTTCTGAAACTAGATACTCAAATGAGCAGGTACAAAAAAGTCAGATTCACAGGACAGAAATGAACTATTCCTAAATAGATTTAGAATGATCTTGAGCTGTATCAGAACTAAATAATTCATTCATTTGTCTTTCAATATAAAACCAAAAATAAGAAAACGAAAAATCAACTATTTTCTTCATTATTTGTCTCAAAAATCAAAATGAAAAAAAAACCCCCAAAATGGATAACGGATGTTTCTCATTTCCGTGACTTAAACTTCAATGCTGAACCAGGACTGTCTCAGGATTAAACCAGGTCTAAACCAGGACTAAACCTGTCTCAGTCCTGGTCTCACCCCCGGTCTGGTCCCGGTCTGGTCCCGGTCTCAGTCCCAGTCTCAGTCCCAGTCTCAGTCCTAGTCTCAATCCTGATCTTGTCCTGGTCTGGTCCCGATCTCAGTCCCACTCCTGGTCCTGGTCTCAGTCCTGGCCTCAGTTCTGGTCCTGGTCCCAGTCTGATCCCGGTCTCAGTCTTGATCACCTGACAGTCTACACAGGTGCACCTCTGGGCCTGTCCCGACACTCCTGGTCCCATCATGGTTCAGTCCTGGTTCAGTACTGGTTTAGTCCTGGTTCAGTCCGGCATTGCAGTTTAAGTCATGGAAATGGGAAACAGTCTTTATCCATTTTTTTCCATTATTCATTTAAACACAACATTGAAAACTGAAATCATTATCCATTTTCTCATTTTGATTTTGGAGACAAATAATGAAGAAAATAGTTGTTTGTTCATTTTCTTATGTTTGGTTTTATTTTGAAAAATGAATGAACGAATGATACACGGATTAGACTAGTATTGTGACAACACTTCATTGAGATAAATACTTAAAATGCCATACTGTGTAACTAGGCAAAGCAATATCATCAGGTGGCAGACCTTCCATCAGAAAAGTTCCATAGTGCACCTTTTATAATTTTATCCTGTACATATTACACGCTCTATGTATGACACAATAGCCTGATTTTCCACTGTTTACTTTCTTTCTGATGTAGCATAAGGCTAGGTTGCTAAATACACAGAATCACAGAATCATCGTTAACAAAACTGTGATAAACTGCATTACACTTGTATTATATTGGACAGCAAAGAATGACTGAAATTGTCAGCTTGATATTTGCCATAATCACATTCTAGTTTTATTTTAAAATCACCTCACTATGAGACCAATGTTAACTTTGACAACTACTCATAGTTTCTGTCAGCGTAAAATTACTGCTGACAAAAACATAACAAAAACTAAAGACAATGCGATTTTATAAAACCTCACTGGTGGTTTTCAGAATGTAACGATGTCTTACTCTCAGATGGAGCCAGTTTTTCCCATGGATCACATTACACTTTGCCATGAAATATCGAAAAGATAAAATCACAAACGCTGAACCTAATCATTTTTATGCAGATTACTACACTCTTGAATATCTGCATTGTTTCTATTCCCTCTTTGGCTGTCCCCCACTGTATTAAATATTATCGACCTATATTATTGACCTACAATGTTTTGCACATGTTAGAGATTCAAGTCATTACTTATTAGAATTAATGCAATTATTTGAATGAAAATAATCGAGGTTGAGTAAATGTATTGCAGATTTGGTTGACTAAAACGTGCCTATTAATGTCATTCACTAATATTAAACAAAATCTATGTCTACGTCTTGACTAAAACAACTAAATAATACTAGTAGTAGTAATAGTAATAGTGATATTGACTAAAATTAATTCAATTTGTTGTCATAATTTACACAACTGCTCCACAAATGCATACGACTGCCAGCCTTGCAACAATGCCTCAAAAATCGTTTCCTTGCTCCTGTGCCTGCTTATGAACGTACTGTACTTCTGTCTGTATTATTTTCCAGTTTTTGCTTGTGTAATCTGTTCCTTTTCTGCTTATACTTCTGAAATGGCTGACATCTATTAACGATCTCTTTATTGTTAAGACCGATCAGTTTCTGCCATAAGACAACAATAACTACAATACAATTAAATGCACAATTCAACCAGGATTTAGCCATCGCAAAGCCAGCCAATATCTAATCAACAGGACCTCTTGTGGTTTATAACAACATACAGAACAAGAAGCACATTTTTGCATTTTTACTTCCAGTGCTGTGGCTCATACACCGTCTGGACTTTGCAACGTTGGGCTATGTTGTGCAATCTACAAAATCGTATCGTATTTACTTTGTTGTAGTTAAAGAGGAACTAAACACTAAATCTACCTGTTTTTGCTTTTAAACTGGTGTTTTAATAGCATTGTGTTCTTAGTATTTTTGGTATAAGAGTAGGTAAATTTGCACTTTCTGGTCAAAAATGCCTAAATCTTAAGTGTGTGGCCTCTGCAATTTCAAGTAGTTGGTGACATCACACAGAACTGGTCGGTTTCTGATCACGAACAGTTGGCTACCGGGGCGGAATTTGAAGTGAGAATACCTGTTAGACCAATCACAGTGTTCGTTATACCTCCAGACCCAGCCCCTTCTGCCCTCACTCTCTTCTTTACCCTGCATTCGATTATCTTCCGACTCCCACTTGGACCTCGGATTTGACGTCATGTCCGAGCTTGAAGTGTATTATTATGTTTCGCGTGTCGGACTATGTGGATTCTGATTATGACTATTCCCTCATCTTATGGAAATGCTGCCACTTTAATTAATTTATGTTATGATTTCTCTTCCTTTACAACCTTAAGGATGTTAATGTCTGCTAAATCAAGTATTTGTTCAATACTGGCCTCATCACAACACCGACTACCAAACCCTTAGGCAGTGATATGAACGCGGTAAAGTATTGCAGTAATACGAGTGACTCAAATTGTCATTTAAACCACCAAAGTGTCCAAATACTATGAAAACAGTTCATATTTACACATCACAGTGGGCGTGGCCTTTCTGGATTCTGACTCGAAATCTTTGCTCGGTCTACTTTTTCCACTACCGAGGTCCAAGTCCCAGGAAAAGGGGCATGTGACGCATGTCCCTAAGCAACTTCCTTGGAAAAGGATAATCGAATGCAGAGTTAGTCCTCCAGGTGCAGCCAGGTTTAGCAGCTCTATTTGAATTGTGCTTGTGGGCGGAGTTTAGGTGTTTAGTTCCACTTTAATGAATCGTTATACCAATAATTTTGCTTTAATTTAATTCCTCTGCAAATAAAGCAGCAATAATACACAGAAACATAGGCCGACTGTACACTACCAATGCTTTTGAGTATAAATGATTTGAAGTGTGTCAGCAAAACGTGCCTCGTACACCTCGGATGCTTCCATTTTGTTGAATGTATCTTCTGCATGGATTTACCTACTGTTTCAGTGTAGTTTTAAATGTCACTTTGTGGAGGATTTCTTCGAGCTGCGTGGTTTTGTACTTAAACTGCAAGAATGTCTTAACTTTTCAGCAAATCTCTACACTTTATAAACGCTCTGTATTTATTGGATAGTTTGCTGTTTTTGCTGAAATATAATAAAATGTTTTCAATCTTTTATTCTATCTGGTGCTTTATAGGCCATATATTCTGCACAATTCTCAAAATGTGGTCTGATCCTTGGTCATTTATTATCAAATCTAAAATCTGTTTACAATGTGTTATTTGTTTTGTTGTGATATAGTCTAACTAACTAAATTTAGTTTAGTTTTCTATTGCTTCAGTAAGCTACAGTTGCAGTGCATAGTTTTTACCCAGGGAAATGTTGTATATATATATATATACACATATAAAAAAAAAATTAAAATATTGGCTTTTGATATGAGAATCTATATTCCATTCATTGGTTGTCTTCGTATTCAACTGTATTCACTGATGCACTAAAAGTTTGTGAAGGCTTAGGTACTACTATAGGCCTAATGCTACTACTACTACCACTACTACTATTTCTTCGTACCACTACTACACTGCCTACTACTATATTCTACTATCCAACTACTAGACCTACTACTAAGACAAGAGAACCTTTATTTGTCCCAGAACAGATGACCTATGCAATCAAGTTGTTGCAAGTACTGTAAAAATATTAGGCAACCACATTGTTATTTAGGCTAAAATAATTGACTATGACTATGTGTAGTGTAATAAATAGAAGATAAAGTGACAGCAATAACTACTACCTCTACTAGTACTATTATTAGCCTACTACTGCTACTACTACTTCAACTACTACTCAGATCATAAGACTCATTTTTTATTATTTATTTATTATTTAGTTTATTTATGAGACATAGACAGTGCACAATATACATTAATCTCAACAGGAGAGATGCATTGTGCCAGGCATTTTATTACTTATTTTTCAATTTTATTTTTTGATTTGTACATATACAGTTGTATGACTATGTCTTATTTGACAAAAGTCTGGAGTTACAGGTTCTTATTTAAACATGCATTTGGTAATGACACTTTGATGCACTATGTTATTTTCCTGGTGTCATTTATGAATGCATTCCACTTTTCCCATTGCTCATCATATTTGTGCCCTTTCCATTTAAGATTATATGTTTACCATTTATAGTTTTTACTCTTTGTTTTTATATTATATTGTGACGAGTGAGCTACAGTGTCCAAATAATTTCCTTTGTGGATCAATAAAGCCTAAATCCAAGTCTAAGGTTGTAACACTAGAGCTAATTTCCACCTGTAGTCCGTGGTGCATGTTTTATTTTTATTTATTTTTTTATTTTGTCAGTGTGCTGTTAATTTATTTTGAGATTTGCTAATTCTTTATTCACACATTAATAAGAATAATATTATAAAATTGATAGTCCAATTTACTACAGTTATTACGACAGAAGATGTAATATTTCCTGCGCTTTATGACACTTACGGTAACGCGTGGGGGAATCCCGGGCTCTGATTGGTCGGCCGGCTCGTACTTTGCGTGAGGAGCGTGTCGCCTCTTCTCCACTTTGCAGCAACTGGAGCGCGGATCGAATCACGCTTTTCTTCACAGTTGTTACGTCCTGCATTTTCATAGGAACATGTTTATTTAAAGACAAGATTTTACTCCGATTTAACTGTTTTACATCTGCTGAAAACCGGTAAGTAAGGCCGTCGTTGTGCTAAAAACGTGATGCTACCAACTTCCGCTTGTCATAAATAGGAACGTTACCCTCAATGAATGACAGCGTGCGAGTGATCAAATGCGGTGTGCTCCAATTTACGGACTTCATAAATAATTTAAGCAGATTACGCCCTCAAACTAACTATTAAATAACTGTCTTTAATAGATTTTACCTGAAAAAATTCACGAGGAAAACGATGTCGCAGTTTATATTCGGGTTAGCTGTTTTTATGTCGACTTGTTGTGTCATTAATAGGTTTAGGGTAACCAGAATTAAATAAAAAATAAATAAAAATTAAACAACTGGGACATCCCCGTTTTTTGGTGGTTGGTAATGATAAAATCATGAAACAAGTGCGAAATTAAGGAAAATTGTTATGCAGAGACCACTCATGACTAACATTTGAGCCAGTATAGTCACGTTTTCTTTGTGTTTTGGTCATTTTTAAGCAGCTTTTCTGTATTTTACCTAAACACATGACAAATATATGCCTCTCTTTACTGTTGGCAGGGATCAAATTGGTCACAAATAGGGACACCTGGGCCATATGTTGTATAAAACTGGGACTAATCAGTGGTTTTGGATAAATTTTTGATAAAGTGGGACTGTCCTTGGTAAATAGGGACGTCTGCTCACCCTAACTAGGTTGTTGATGCATCTCATAATGACTTTGAATTCACCATAATGTGTATTTTGTTTTTATATTTTCTTTATAGTCTTGGCCAACTATTGTTTACAATTAGTTCTTTTAATATTCTTCATTAATTCCCTTCCCTCCCTAAAATATTAAACTAACAAGCTACGTCAAACCTTCCTTTTTTTTTTTTTTTTTATCCTTATTTTTTATTCCTTATTTTTATCCTTATTACGCAAACCTAGTAACATATTGGTTTATTGTTTCAAATAAAAATTGTAGTTGTCATTTGATTTGTGATGGCACACCTTAAAACGTGATGAACAAGTTATAGCTTTAGTATGATATGAACTTTGATCATAATAAACTTCTCCGATACAACCTTTTAAAATAACAATTTAAGCAGAAAATGTAGGTGTGTATGTTAATCAGTTCAACAATCTCACATGAAAACCTGTGAACTGTCAGCTCTTGCTTCATCTTGGCTCTTAAACATTTCCTCCAGTGCGCAATTTAGAATGCATACATAATCTTTCTGGGGGCATGGCTATCACAATAATGGAGTGGCAGGAAAGAAAATGGGTGTGGTTGTTTGCATTCGACTCATTTAAGTTCTGATTATAGTGAACAATGAACGAATGAAGGAAGGAAATGATTAATGGGCCTTTTAAAACAACAAATGCATGCATGTGAAGCACAAATACCATTTTCATGCTACAATTTTTTAATGTTTTGTTGTAGCAAACAGACATTTCTATACTGTTATTATTATTTTATTATTTTTTCCCTCATTGACTTAAATTTTGATATTTTTTTTTTAAACACAGAGTAACAATTACCTTTTACTAGTAGTTTCATTGCCGTTTTAAGCATAAAATTTCTTTCATCAAAGTCTGACTTCTGCTCCAAATCATATGTTTCTAGAAAAATGGCAATGATGGACTCTCACTAAAGACTCAAGCTATACCATCTGAAACCAGTTCATTAAGATTCTATTAATTGTGCAGCCCTAATTTGAACTTTATTGCATCAGTGTTTCTCAGTCAGGGGTAAGGGGGCAAAAAGGTTGGGTACCACTGCATGGTTATCTGAATATTCCACTCTGGCTTGCCAAACTCAACTTGGCAGAGCGGCAGTACCTGAAAAGCCCTTGTATTATTAGACCATTTGATTTCCAGTTTGAAAAGCTGTGCAGACTTTGTATAAGTGTCAGGGGCGACCTTCTCCCTGAGCTAATCCCGGCTTATTGCTTTCTAATGTTTCCTCGAGGTCTGAGCTGTGGTCGCGTATTAAAGATGCTGCACCTGAACAGCTGAAATGGAGCTGGTTCATTTTAAACTCTGCAAAAGTTATTCCTCACTTAGCTCCTGCATTCTGACCATCCGTATTATTCATAATTGAGTTTTATGGACTTTTCACATGTTTGATTTTCACTGATTATCGGACAATAAAATGCTTTCTAATCAGATGCACAGAGAACTTATTTTGACCTCAAGAGCTGCTTACAACATGTCTGTACTGGGGTGAGACAGATTTTGTCAGCCAGTGGAAAGAGAAATGGAAAGAGCGAGAGTAGATTTCATCCAGGACTGTGCAATTCATCAAATTTTAATGAACTTTCAGTCAATTGAAAGAAACGAATAGTGTCATTTTGGATGAGAGCAATCCAAATATTATTATGAAAACTAAATAATTAAATTTTATTGCACAAAATGTGGACTGTAATTGTTATCCGCAAATGTGCAGAAAAATATATCCTAATTTGAAAGATTACTCTGCAAGTATTGCTTCAGCCTATTTTTGTAGCCAGTATTTTATTAGTATTTAGACTCTATACTCACGCTTATTTTGTAAATCATCCATTGTACCATTGTAATACATTTTCTCCCATGTATGTTACTAAAAATTGTACTAATGTTATGTTTACTGTTCACTGACGCATGTTTTGTGCACCTGCGATCTCTCCGTGTCTGTTTACATGTGACATATGAGGCACGTCACATGACCACAGCTGCTCAAAAGGCTCCGTGCTGTTGTAGACCCTAATTTCCCCACCCCTTTCGCGTCCCCCCACATGCCCAGTGTCCCCTGTTTATCCCGTGTGTTGTGACTGTAAAACTGAAATAGAAACGGCTCAGATTGCTGTTCTCTTAGATTATTTGCTTACAGCTCCAGTTGCACTTCCTCTCAGTGGGAGCAACCAATTCAGTTTTCACAATGAATCTATAATAATGCGAGGTGTGTCAAAATTTTAACTTGGTAGATTTTGTTTTGTCGAGAATATGTAACTTTTTTACCACCTCCTGTGAAGATATCCGTGCTCTGGTTTGAATGTTTCACAGTTTGGCTTTAGTCTAGAATGTATCGTGTGTTTGTATTGGTCCAGAATATCTTCATAAACGTGCATTTTTACTGCGGCACGGTGGGTGAGTGACTAGCACACGTGTCACAGTAAGAAGGTCCTTAGTTTGATTCATGGGTTGCGTGGTGTAACAGGTTAGATACCAGAACTTTCTGTGTGGAGTTTCCATGTTTCTGTCTCCGCTCACTCCAATTTCCCCCATGAAATCATGCACATTAAGTTAAATCCTCCAGCTAATGAAGTCCTGACCAGGGTCTCTGGGTGCAACACTGTGGTGCACATTAAAGGATTGGTCAAATTTAATTATGAGGACAATAAAGTGTAGTTTTTCCTGTGAGTGGACTCGCCCCTCCACATAACTGACCTGTAACCTGGCCTTGTGGTATCACCGTCTTGTTTTCATGGATACATGGAGGTGGCAGACCCTTCATCCAAAAAGTTAAGATAGATAAATAATGCGTAACCCAAAACATGCTACATAGGTCTCCAGGAAGGTCTCAATGAACCTGCCCAGGGATTACAGGTGGAAATTAGCACTGATGCTACAACCTGGGATAATGCCTCTCTCCTGTTAAGGTTAATGTAAATTGTGCACTGTCTCTGTCTCAATAAATGTCACAATGCATTCTGTATCAGTTTACTTTTACAGTAGAAAATAGCATGACGTTTTGACCTCAATCTTTACCTCCCTCTGTCTGCTCTGTGTCCCCGTTCATTGTGCCTATGTGCTAGTGGGTCACATGCATGACAGAGCCCTCACAATACTCATGTTATTCACCAGACATTATATGGACGAGGCCCTGGATAAACAACGCTAGAGCTATAATGTCATTTTGTCTTTTTCTCATTTCTTGTATTTGGAGCTTTCTTGTAATCCTGATTTGTCTCTGGTCTGATTTTGTGGATTAGGATTAGACTTTCTCACATCAGATTACACTTGAGCAGATAAGGACTTGAACTGGAGAGCTTTTGGTTCACTGGCAACAGCGATATAGCATCCATCTTAATAACACTTTTACAAATTATCTTTAATAGAGTTGTTCTGTCACTTTTTATGCAACACTTGAACCTCAACCAAGACTTCTGTAGGCACATTTTAACACCTTTTGTTGGAAGGCAAAGATGTTACCAGTGGAGAGAAATCTGTATTCTTTCTCCTTTTTTATATTGCCCACCCCTGTGTCTAAAATGTAAACTAGTTAGTGTGTGTAATGACTTGATTGAAACTGATAATGATGTTATTGTTTGCGGTTACAGTCTGCTGATATTGATTTGTGTCTCTCCAGTCCCTGCTGCACCATGCTGTCCCGACTGTCCGCCCTCCAGAGCTGCTGTGCCGCCCTCAGACCCTGTGTGTCAGTGGTGAGACTGGCCCACACCAAAGAGAAGGGCAAACCGCTCATGCTCAACCCACGCACCAACAAAGTGAGTCTGCTAACACAATAGTGCTCAATAGTGCTGATACTTTTCATACGCTCAGTGTAACATGATATGATGTAAACAAACCTCGCCAACACCTAAAAATATGTGCTGTGTCACTTTAAGTCTTATTTGAATGAAAATAAGACATTTAATGCAAGAAATGGTAAAAATGTATTATTCCAGAATCTGAAATGCCACAGGACTGACTGTAGAAATGGCCCGATTGACCCTTTGAAATGACTGGATTTCAGTTATTTATAATTAGGCAGCCCTGTATTTGAGGATGTCTGACCAGAAAGAGCTGAGAGTTAGTTGGAACTAGAACAAGTAAGATGATTTTTACTGTTATACTGGCCCCTCTCAAATAATACAGTCGCAAGATAATAAGCATTTTGAAGCCTACAGTTGTTGAAAATCACCTAAACGGGGCCATGAACGTATTGAACGAATTGTATTGACCAGGCTCCTAAAAATATTTATCTTACTATCTATCTATACCCTACACTGGAAAAAGTTAATGTGTGCATTTTGTCACCATGGTAACATTCCACCATAGAGATGCATGTAATCCACCCACAGATACTGCAAAATATCAGTAGCCAAAGTGGCTCTGAATATAGCTCCAGTATTGTAAAAAAAAACTGGAATTGATTATTTTTTTGCATTTGTAATGTGAGAAATGACCTCACTCTGTCAGAATGTTCAAAAGTTCAAACTAAAAGTCATTCTGTGCTAAATATAAACCCTCTGGCCTTCACTGTAAAGTCAAAACAAGCAGCATGAATACTTAAGAGGACAAAAAGGTCAGATATGTTTATTATGGAAAATGGTTTGAGTGGATATAATCTGTACATTACTAATGTTACTGAAAACATTTTTTTCTTATTTTTATTTTTGATCGGGTCAGACATGACAAACAAGGATTTATAATTGGTCAGTTGATGTTGATCACACTCAGTGTTTAGAACCTTGGTGAATTTGCAACATCAGTCCTTAAAACGACCTTATATTAATGTTAAACTGCACATGAGTATTCAGTATAAATGCATGCTTTCTTCTGTTAGTGCTCCTTAGTGGCCTAAAGTTTAACAAGAACACACTGCTGCAGATTTGAGTTGGAACTGTTTGTGTTCACATTATATCACAACATTCTAACCTAATATGACAAGTGTGTGGAGCCAAAACACAAAAGGTTCAACATTTGTGGATCATAAGTTTAGATATTTCTTTAATATATTATAAATTATAAAGGTTTCGGCCCTCCATCTGAAACTATGACATCAAATACTAGGGATGTGCAAAGAAATATTGATATATCGCAATAATTTGGTGACGTAGTATTGTCATCGTGACCTGCTGTTTTGCTGCAGTATATCGAGTATTTTTTGGTATCTTGTGACCGCACTGTAATTTTGCTGCTCATTTAGTGGAAGGAAATTTATTTGCATTTTTGCAATTTTGGCATGTTCACTGTTTTGATGATGAAAATAGATTATAGTATTTCATATTAACTTTGCACAACCACTATTTAACTAGAATGTTAACACAGCTTATTTGCATCCTGTTTTGCTGAGTTTACAGAAATACTGATTATTTCTGAGTTCTGTTGGTGAAAGGAAGTGTGAACATAGGTCTATCTGAAGCGCAGTGTCAGCGTGACTCGGCAATCTTATAGCTCTTTCCCTCTTCCAAACATGATGTCTTCCATGTGTTTTTAGCCACTTTCCTCTGCCCCCCTTCCCTCCCTCTTCACACGAGCATTGAGCACATACATGAACACTGCCCAGGGAACACTTCTCATGTTTTCTGGAGGGCTGTTCTCCTCTGGCTTTTCCCTATTGGTCGGCTACTTTTGGGGTGTCTAAAACTGTAAACCAGCTTTTGTGAAATCTGTTAAAAAAGTCTGGAAAGAAAAAGTATAACATTTTAAACAATACTGGAGAGAAAACAAAGTATTTAACAGTTTGTTCACGTTTGTTTGAGAGAATCCTGAAATCCAACTTAACTATGAAACAAATACCCCATGTGTTATCCTGATGTTCTTTTAACTTTGCATTGCAACAGTGGAATTGCCCCATTGGTGGTCTTCAGATTCTATAATGCGATGTCACATTCCCAGATTGAGCCAGTTTTCACTATTTAATAACATAAGCAATAAAAAGTAAAGTTTTTTTGTTGACAATTATTCCCATCTAGTTGTACTTTTGTCTATAACAGGAAGGTAAAATATGACTTGTGATTTGTTGTTGATGTTCTTAAATTGAAGAATGGAACCTGCACATTTTATCAAAACTAAAATCGTTTCTTTCCCCGTTTGTTTCAGGGTATGGCTTTCTCTCTCCAAGAACGTCAGCTCTTGGGGATCCACGGTCTGCTGCCCCCTAAAGTCGAGACACAGGACCTACAGGCCATGCGCTTCCAGAAAAACCTCAAGAAAATGACTGATCCGTTAGAGAAGTGAGTCCTGCTTGTTTCTCCTACTGTGAAAACGAGGGCTGTGCCGATAATCAGATTTTAATATAATTTATAAGAATTGCCTCTAAGAAAATGTGTAGTCTCTTCTGAATTATGCTGTGCTCTTTCCTGATTATCAGACAATAAAATAGAGATGCAGGCGGTACACGGCTGACTCATTCTGACCTTAAGAGCTGCTTATACAATATATCTGTACTGGGACAAGATGAATTTTACAGGCCTTTAAGTTGGCAAAACTAAACGTGTAGAGAGAGGGAGGGTATTTCTCATTACAATGGTGTGCATACATTTGACAGTATGTAGTTTCAAAACTTTCAATTATGATGGATGATTTAAGATTATTTTACTCTGAGCAGTCGTAACTATGACAAATTAAACATGTTGTTATAACTTTGTCTGTACTGATTGTGTTTTCCAGATACATTTACCTGATGGGGATTCAGGAAAGAAACGAGCGTCTCTTCTACAGAGTCCTGATGGAGGACATCGAGGAGCTGATGCCCATCGTCTACACTCCCACTGTGGGCCTGGCCTGTACACAGTACGGACACATTTTCAGGAGGCCCAAGTGAGTCCAGTGCAATTATAATATGGTGTTTTCCTATTTTTAAATGATGCTATCTACTGGGGATGTAACAATAACCGAAATATCGTGACATTGTATCGTGGACCATCACAATATATCGAATTACAAGTCACTTTGCTTAAATTAAGAGTTATGGTGCAGCAATAGCTAAAAAAACAGAGGGAACTACATAGACCATGATCCTTTGCTCCATTTCAGTGTAGACGACATGAAGAAATAACAGTTCTAAGCACTTTTAAGTCTTAGTTCTTTAGATTAAGTCTTGTCAAGGCATTTTAAGAGGAAAAAAGGAGCATATTAACAGGTTTGTTAGCTTCCACAAAATATCACAATAAATATCGTACCATGAGATCTATATCGTGAAAACATGGTACCGAGAGATTTGGATATTGTTAATCGTGAGCCTCCCCACCATGTCATGAGCTTTCCCACGATATCGCAATATATATCGTACTGTGAGGTTCCTGAAATTACGTTAAGGAATGTTTATGAACCCCAATAGACCATTTGTTGTTTCTAAAGTTGACTTGTCACGGTACACCTTTACGACTGCAGTTGTTGCTTGACCATGTATTGATCACTCTGTTTGACATGAGTCTCACATATGTTGTCCACCACCAGTGTATAAAAACTGTCTGTTTCTCTGTTGTTGCATGTAGGCAGTAGAGCCAGAGCTCTGTGTGTGTTTGTATTAAACCTTCAGAAAACGCTTTTGTGGTCCTCACCTCTTTTCTTATACAGCAACCAGAAAATCATGATATCATACTACTTTTAATTTGATCAGATTTTGTAATGCATCACTGGAATGTCAAAAATCAACAACTTGCTCATCTTTTTGTACATTTATTGTAAAAGTGCTAGTGCTATATGCTAGTACATGGGTTTTGGCTTCTGTTATATGCAACATTTTCAGGTCTTTTTCCACATTCAGAAGGTATAGTTTGTAATTTTGTTCATCGCTATGGCAACAGTTGTTTTTCTTAAATCTATGAGTAGATTTTTTAAGTACTCCTGCCCCTCCCTCTGAGATTTTGACATTGTATTGTAGAAGATGAGCCTAACCTATTGATAAATGATCTTTTTAATCATATGAATTCATACTGATATTTTATTAATGTTATGTACAGGTAAAAATATATTTATTTTATGAATTTAATTTCTCTCTCCAGAGGTCTGTTCATCTCCATTAAGGATAGAGGACACATACGCTCCATTTTGGACAACTGGCCAGAGACTAGAGTTGCTGTAAGTACAATTTTTCTATACAGTACGACAACTTAACAGCCCTCCAGTCTGCTTGAAAAAAAAGTTTTAAATGATGCCTGAGTGTATTGGAGAATTATCATGATCAGTAATCAAGAATGACACAGTGGGTTTTAGACAACTAATTGAGATTTTTTGACATAAACATAGCTTTAAGATTTGATAGAAGACAGAAATATGAACTGATGAACTAATACAAGAATCTCTTTGTAAAGCTACAGGTACAACAAGATTGTTCTTTGTAGTAGAGTTTAAATCTATTGGTGAAATAATTGCAGCCTTTTGATTAGATAATTTCACAAACTTAAATTGCAGTATATTGTGCTGCTCTAATTTGAACCTTACTTATTTGCTCATTCTGCTTGGTTGAATGTGCACTGTTGAATAAAGATGTCATAGTTTTTGTTTGTTTTTCTAATCACTTATGTCTGTCTCTTACAGGCTGTTGTAGTGACCGACGGAGAGCGTATCCTGGGCCTGGGGGACCTGGGCGTTTATGGGATGGGGATTCCTGTGGGTAAACTGTGCCTGTACACGGCCTGCGCAGGCATCAGACCTGAGAAGTGTCTGCCTGTGGTCATTGACGTTGGCACGGACAATGAGGTAAGTGTATTGAATAATGGAAAGTACTAAAAATGCCACCTAATAAAGGGGAACCTGAGACGCATAAATGCAATGTTACATGGAAAATATTGATAAAGAAGACATTAAAAAGCTATTCAGGGTGTGTATTACCAAAATATATCTTATAAAATCTGTTTGCATGAATGAACTGCTAAACTAATGTAAGACAATTTGTAGTTGTCCAAACTAAAAGGTTGGCAACTTCTATGCAGGGAAATTACTTAAATTCTTTGTGATTTGCCAACTATGAACATTCAAATTGCAATTAATTTATGGCTAAAGCAGCTTTAATTCAAATCATTCCTGAAAACAGAATAATATAAGTCAAACATTTTAAAGGATTTGAGGAAAGTGCTTAAAGTTATTTCTTCATTTGCTGTTAGACCCTGCTGAAAGATCCTCTGTACATGGGCCTGTACCAGAAGAGAGACCGGACCCAGGCCTATGACGACCTCATCGACGAGTTCATGGAGGCTGTGGTGGAAAAGTACGGACAGGACACGCTCATCCAGTTTGAGGACTTTGGGAATCACAACGCCTTCCGCTTAATGAGGAAATACAGGGAGAAGTACTGCACTTTCAATGACGATATCCAAGGTAAATTAGGATGTTAACATTGTACTTAGTAGGGCTGGGCATCATTAAGAAGCTGCAGATACTCGATACAGTGCACTTTTGATTTGATACGATATTTCAAATTGATTTGATACAGTTCAATAAAAAAATAAAGGCCAAATCATGATTGTGATACTAAAAGTCTTTGTTAAACCACTTCTTGTGCAAAGTTAATATGAAACACAAACATTTAAATCATCAAAACAGTGAAAATGGGTTTCCTTCCTCTGAACAAGCAACAAAACTGTAGCGCTGTAACAAAATAATTTAGTAAAATATACCAAAAAATACTCTTGGTGATATATCGATACAGCAGCCCATGATATCGATACTGTATCATCACATTAAACGACACGATATATATCAATATTTCGATATTTTTGCACACCCCTAGTAGTTAGTATATGTATGTATGTATGTATCCATCTCGGAAAAGTCTAAAAAGTCTCATAAATTTTAATGGAGAGTAAATAGATTCAGAGTAATTTCTAATCGACGATCATTTTGTCTTTGACTATAGACCTCTCATTACAATCCTCAGTAGAAGCATGTGGTTTGGAGAATTTTTTGTTTAGTTTTTTTGTGTTAAATGGCAATGATTGAAAGTATGTATTGTATAAGTTCAGAAGGGCAATGTTGAAACCCAGTTTTATTTAAAATAAACAAAAGTCACTCACACATTTCCCCATTGATAGATTTTAATTATTTCATCATATTGCTCAGGCAAATACAGTATTTTATTTATGTGTTTACTTGTAGATTCTAAAATGGGTGTCCTCTTTCATTTGGAGGCATGATTCTGTTGTAGTTTCCTAAGACATGAAGGGGGAATTCCAAAAATCGTCATCTTTGGTAATGTCTGATGAAATGTCTGAAAGTGATTGCTCTTCTTTCTTCCAGGTACAGCCGCTGTGGCTCTGGCCGGTCTGTTAGCTGCACAGAGAGCTGTGGGCAAACCCATCACTGAGCACAGGGTCCTCTTCCTCGGAGCTGGAGAGGTAAATGTTATGTGCTACTTAAGGCAAGACTGTAACTTTTTTTTTTTTTTTTTTAAATGTAGATTAAATGTTTTTGGATTTGCTGCCATCTGCTGGTCATTAAAGTCCTGTGTGTTGAAGTTTTCTGACCAAAAGTGAAAATGTTCCTGTTTATATTTGTACGTCAGGCGGCTCTGGGCATTGCGAACCTGATCGTCATGGCGATGATGGAGAACGGGATGACTCAGGCTGAAGCACAGAAGAGGATCTGGATGTTTGACAAATATGGACTTTTAGTGAAGGTAAGTGAATACATTGTTGCTTAATAACTTTACTTAAAAATACAACTAAACTGAGAGGACCATTATGGAAGAGCTATTTTGGTTTTACTGCTGAACGGTTTTACTCTAGGATTAGGCAAACATGTTTTGTTTTCTGACTGGATAATTGACAATCAAAATATAACTTTTGAAATGTTCTTGTGATGTGATTTTATTCAAATAATCAAATCATAATGGTTTATTTTATATTTATTGAATAATTTATTAAGTTTATTTGATACTGACAAATGTTTCATAAACTCATGTCACACACTACAAATTTGAGCCAAGCCTAATTATCATTGTCAGATTTTTTTAAACAGAAAATTCAATATTTGGCTCAAACATTACATCATTTCTGAGGACATAGACAATGTTAATAAAATAGAAAATACAAACCTTAATTAGAATTTTATTAACACAGTCGATTAAAGCAGTTTATTGTTTTATTACATTGTTTTGTTTGTTTTTTTTTCAGGAAAGATCCAACACTGACGCCAACCAGGTGGGATTCGTACACGACAGTCCAGGAAACGTCCAGAGCTTCTTGGATGCTGTGAACACCATCAAACCCACTGCTATTATCGGTACAAAGAAACTTAATTCTGTTGCTAATAAAGAAAAAGTAATATGGTAAAATGAGCAAATATTTCATGTATTTTTCCCTGTCTGCAGGTGTGGCAGGGGCAGGTAGACTCTTCACTCCAGATGTGATCAAAGCCATGGCAGCTCTGAATGATCGACCAATCATATTTGCCCTGAGTAACCCGACCGCCAAAGCTGAGTGCACAGCCGACGACGCTTACACCCTCACTGACGTATGTGGGCTTACGTACATTTGTGTTTACTTTTGCTTTTTATTGAAAAAAGTTTTACAGCCAAATAAATATAAATCCAGTTTCAGGAGAATGTTTGAACGAGAGAATGCATTACTACAGTTTTTTACTTTTACAAAAATGTCAGGACGCTACTGTCATTATGGATTATTTAGTAATTTCATGATCATTAAAATAATTATAGGCAATGCTGTATCTTGTGAAATTCTGACAAATAGTGACAATTTCTTTCATCAATATTGACCATTGTAGATTTTTTTAAATTGAAATGTGTTTAAAAATAGTCAAATTTATTTTTGTCCAAAGTCTGAACTCTGCTCCAAACCACTTGCTCTTACCATTAAAAAGACCCAAACTGATCATTGATGATTAGAAATGATCAAATCTCTTAATTAAAATTTGCTCAGACCTATGTAAAATTGTGATTTATACTTTGTGAAAACATGATAAAACTGATGTATACTCAATTGGCAGCTAGGCAGTTGTATAGTTTTTATTTTTCTATATTTCCACAACAGGGCAGGTGTCTGTTTGCCAGTGGAAGTCCGTTTGGCTCAGTGACTCTGAGCAATGGACGAGTGTTTACTCCCGGACAGGGGAATAATGCCTACATCTTCCCAGGTAACAGGAAATTACAGGCAGTCTATCAAAGTGATTTATTATATGGTTTCATACAATCTTTTTATAGCTATATCATTTATTACAGTTTTTATCATCATCAGCTTAATTGAGGATGGGGACTACGTTTCAAAAAGCAGGTTTAGGTTTTTCAGAATTTGTTAGAGTTTATCTCTTAAGGGTTTTCAGGCTCTAACATGGAAGCCTCCTCTACTTTGTTACTATGGTGAATCGTTTTTTTCTGTGATTCATTGATTGTGGTTTTTCTCCTCAGCTATACTCAAACTGAGTTGTTTAATTTTACTCCTACCTGCTTTCTGAAACTGGAAAAACAGTAGTGGCCAGAATTAAAGTCAGGGCTAGTTTAACTTTGTGAAATTAGGTCCATGTTTTTACTCACAGTATCTAGAACTCTGAGCGTCAGAGTTCTTGATCTGACAGTTTGCTGGGTCAGGATATGGTAAAAAATAATGGAAATTTGCAGGATAGGCCCTAGTTTATGACAAATAACTTGTCTCTTCATTCAGTATATTTTGTTTGTTGCAGGTGTGGCTCTGGCAGTGATCCTGAGTGGAGTCAGACACATCAATGACACGGTGTTCTTAGAAGCTGCAAAGGTTTGACCCCCCCCTCTTAATTTGTAGTGATTATACTGTATATTATAGTATCATATTATCATTTACCTTGTTTACTCATCTATAGTCCATCTTTCCCTCTGCTACTTTTAGTCCCATCATGCATATAATGTGATTTTTTCATTGTGCTAAACACTCGACACACTTTGCCTGTAGTGCCTGTGTATAGTGGCTTTTGGATGTGTGAATGAGTGAATTTAAAGTGTTTTGAGTACTCAATAAACATCAAAAGTCTACTTAAATGTGATCATGTATATACTATTTACTACCAATTATTATTTTTTTCCTTCAGAATCTTGCTGAACAGTTGACTGATAAAGAACTTCAAGAAGGCAGGCTGTATCCTCCACTGTCCAACATTAGAGAAGTGTCGGTCCAGATGGCAATCAAGGCACGTATTAAAACATTTGTACAATTTGGCAGCTCTGACAATGCACTTTTAAATTTTACTATATAATTATGATTGTCTTGTTGCACAAATTACAAAGGCTGCCTCCTTTACATCTACAACTTCATAGTGTAGTTTATACCTCTTCAAAATACATGAGTTACTTATATTAGTTTGGGAATTTTTCAGTCTTCTGTCACATTAATACGTCAACTACAATATTCAAAATCAGTTCAAGGATTTAAAGGCAAAAACTGGCTAATTTTGGCATACTAGCATTTAATTGTAGGTTATCATGCAATGTTTGAGAAATATATTCATACGATAAAAAAAAAAAAAAAAAAAAGTACAATTTTAATCTCAGTAGCAAAGTTGACGTGTTTTTCTGTCTTTAGGTGATGGAGTTCGTCTATGCAAAGGGGATGGCGTTCCGATACCCAGAGCCGATGGACAAGAACAGATTTGTGAGGTCCACAGTCTGGAACACAGAGTACGATTCCTTCTTACCGGACACTTACGACTGGCCTGGGGTCAAATACACGCCTTTAAAGGAGTGAATTTAAAGTGACCTGCTCCCACCTGACCGCACCCTCAACCATGTGACCCGCTCCCAAACATGTGACCTGCTCTGTCCTTTGCCCACAACTACAGCTCTGCTCTAGATTAGACGCTCCATGTGAGGTTGGATAAAACACTCCCGTTATTAAAGATGCTCTGTGTAACATTTTCGAGTGATGGGGTCCACTACCTGTGACCTGCTTTGTCCGGAATGTTCTGCAGTGTGGCATTAAACTTATCCATCTAGCGTTAGATTATAAATGTTTTAATAGCACAAAAAACATGCCTTCTTACAGTGAGAGACTTAAAACTTGACCTGAGAGTTTAAAGGTGTAATGCCATATTGTGGAACATTCTTGACAAAGTAAATCTCCTTTTGGGCCACAACAGTTTTTAGGGGGCGGGGAAAGGAAATCCTAAGTGTATTATTGTCAACTGCACAAAGGTTTTGGAGGAAGACATTTCACGACTCATCCAAGTGGCTTCATTTCTGGTCAGTGTTGACAATTTGATCCCAATTGCTCATTTCAAAAAAGACCATGCCGACAAAGTTAGAATACACTCCACCAGAAAAGTTACACAGTGCACCTTTAAACCATTAATTCAACTCCAAGCCGCTGTCGTTTTAATGTTTAGACCCTGGACTATCGAAAAATATATTAAATACATTGGTTTTAACATTCCATTGGTCACATACAGGCCAATTGTATCAGAGCAAAGGGAGAGCAAAAAGGGCATAATGAAGTTTAAATAATATAACCTCAAAGCACTTAACGCTGCAATAGATAATCCTCTAACTCCCCCGTGTGGTAGAAAGCAGGAGTGCTGTTACAAACGTAAGATTTACTCCAGTTAAAATGACTTGTACTGTGGTCAGTTTGTTGAAAAATACAGAAAAGGGGAAGAAACTTGGTGCCTAATTTAGCTGTCTTCTGTAAAACTAAAGATGAAGGAATAGTGTTAGCTCAGGAGTGTTTTTTAAATGATAGGAAATGGTTGTATTTTTATTAAAAGCACTTGAATTTATGAAGAATAAAATGTATTGAAATGTTTATGAAGAACTGTGTAAAGCTGCATCTCATAACCAGCCTCCACTCCAGCTAATTGTATTTATAACATATTGTCATTATTTTCACAGTTTTAAGTTGGTTTACACACAACTATTTGTAATGATCTTGTTTGGTAAATATTTTATGCCATGTAATTCTTGCTTTGTCTACTAAAAAGTGACTGTACGCTCCATTCTGCAAGGGATCTTTGTGTAAAAAAAACAGTGGTTGAATTGTTAAAGTATTATTTATCATTAATTTGTGCATAATCTAGTATTTAATGTTACTGAAAATGTCCCCTTGTGTCCCAATTTTCTGTCCTGTCAAATATGGTGCGTTTACTGTTGTATTTTGTACCGCTGTTGTCTGAAGCACATGTCATATTTTTCTAGCCAATGTGAGCTGTTTTAGTCATAAATAATATTGCCTTACTCCAAATGCTGCTTTCTAATACAACTATAACTCCAACCACTCATGTTTTCGTGTTTGCTCATTTCAGTTTGAATTTCTCTGAAACATTTTATACATTACCATTGTGTTGATACTGTTATAAATAGCATACACTCTCAAGCCTTTTACTCTAGATCAGTGCTTCCCAATTTTTTTTTTCTGGGGACCCATATTTTAAAAGTCACAAATCTGTGTGACCCAAGCCAAAAGACATTATTCATAAATCACAAAATAAAGGTGGATTTGACCATTATTTTATTGTTGACTGAGTGAGCGTGTCTCTGAACTACTAGTATTACTCAATGTTACAGACCAAGAGTTTTTCATACCTGACGGCTCACTAGCGGTCTTCTTCAGAGTGGTCGTGATGTTTCTGTGACGTGTCCGGGCAGGTGATTTAAACAGGTTTTGGCTCTGTCTTCGTACCGGTGGAGGCAGGACGACAGCGCCATCTGCAGTCCGACTTCCTCAGGACAGTATCCTAGGTGTGTGAGAGTAAAAAAGCCCCCTCGTCCTGGTTTATAGTCACTCAACTCAAGGGGTTTATACTGAAGTTTTAAACAATAAACAGCAATAAAAGGATCCATAAGTCGCCTATTTGGACATTAAATGTAGCCGATTTCCTTTTCAATATTCAATTGAACCAGCAATACTGGAACAAAATAGGCAATAAAATTATCACAAAAAAAGGTTAGAAATTACACAAAACATGTCTTAACATTTCTAATGAGATAGGTGGGCCAGTCTGTGTTTTTGTAGCGTGTTCCAGTCTGGGGTGCAGGAGGAGAGCGCAGGAGCAGATCAGTGTCAGAACTATATATCACTGACCTACATGCAGATCATGACAAGGCGACCCAAAAAAAAATCTCTTGCGACCCACCTGAGGGTTGCAACCCAGTCTTTGGGAAACAATGCTCTGAACATACAAATGGTTAGCTACTTCTATAGTCACAGCTGCTATGAAGTGCTTCTCAGTTTAAGTAATCTGCTTAGTAAGGATGGGACGATAAGGAAGATTTCAAGATTTCACTATCTCTTTGTATTTACAGTATTCTTATTGTCTTGGCTATGGATCACGTGTCTGCACCTGTGTCCTTTATTAAAGATCAAATGAAATGAAATTGCCTAACCCTAGGATTGTGAGAAAACGTGAGATTTTTTTCATTTTTTTCACATTTGATCAAACTTTTAAAATCTGGTTCTTGTGGAAATTGACTTGCCAGATACATAAAACTTTGGGTGTCCTGATCCTACCTACCACATTTTTGTGTTTGGCAAAACATAAATAAAACAAACTCATAAATCTCATTAGGGATGTAACAATAACTGAAATATCGTGATATCGTATTGTCAAAGTTCTCACAATAATATCATGGACTGTCACAATATATTGAATTAAAAGTCTCTTTGCTTAAATTAAGAGTTATGGTGCAGCAAAAAGACAGAAGGAACTACATAGACCATGATCTTTTGCTCCATTTCAGTGCAGACTACAAGAATAAATAACAGTTTTAAGCACTTTTAAGTCTTAGTTCTTTGGATTAAGTCTTGTCAAGACATTTTAAGAGGAAAAATTAGCATATTCAGTTTTAGCTGTTTAGCCTCTACAAAATATTGCAAAAAATACCGTACCGTAAGATGTATATAGTGAAAATATCGTAACGAGATTTGGATATCGTTACACCCTAATGGTGAGCCTCAACACCATATCGTGAGCTTTCCCACGATATCGCAATAAATATCGTACCACGAGGTTCATACCGTGAGACTTGGATATTGTTACACTCCTAAAACTCATAAATGAACATCAAAGTTCCCAGTAAAATTATAAATCATGTTTATTCCTTTGCTACAGCACACACCATCCACTACGAACTTGATGTCCAAGGAACAAATATAACAGTTCTATCAAAATTAGTCAATATTTGCATTAATATTCAGTTAATCAAAACTGAAAAAAATAATTTACCTATTATTTCAAAATACAGTAAATATAATGTATAAAAAATTAAGCCTTTTTCTTTTTAGTTTGTTTCTGTGATTTGTGTATCCTCTTCATATGAACCTGCAGATCCCCTTTTACTCTAAACTCCTTCCCACAGGCCGGACACGGAAAAGGTCTCTCTCCCGTGTGGATCGTCATGTGTCTCTTTAGTGAACTCTTCTGTGGAAAATCACTGTTACAAACTGAACACCTGAATGGTCTCTCTCCCGTGTGAATCCTCATGTGGATCTTTAGATTACTGCTCTCGGTGTAACTCTTGGCACAGAATGGACAGGCGTACAACCTCTCCTCTGCACGACTCTGCGCTTCTTCGTGAGTCCTCATGTGTCTTTTTAAGGAACACTGCACATTAAACTCCTTCGCGCATTTTGAACATTTATAAGGCTTGTCTCCGCTGTGAATCCGCATGTGTTGTCTTAACGCGCCAACGACTGTAAAACCTTTATCACAAGTAGAGCATTTGAACGGTCTCTCTCCTGTATGGGTCCTCATATGTGCGATTAGATGACCCTTCTCCGTGAAGTCTTTCTCACAAACTGAACACCTGAAAGGCCTTTCCCCTGTGTGGATTCTCATATGATTTCTTAAACTGCTATTTAACATGAAACTTTTAGAACAGAATGAACAACCGTACGGCCTCTCTCCTGTATGTGTCCTCATGTGGATTTTGAGCAGATTGTCAGTTGTGTATTCCTTCGCACAGACTGAACACCGGAATGGTTCTTCCCCCGTGTGTGCTCTTGTGTGTACTTTGAGTAAATAGTCTGTAGCAAACTCCATCGTACAAAATGAGCATTTGAAAGGTTTTTCTCCCGTATGAATCCTCATGTGGGCTTTAAACGTGAGTAAATACGCAAAATCCTTTCCGCAAACTGAACAGCTGTATGGCTTCACTCCTGTGTGGACTTTCATGTGGTTTCTTAGATTTCGTTTTTTCTCGAAACTTTTATCACAAACTTGACATTTTAGTCTCTCGGATTCTGGGTGTTCCTCCAATCCTGGTTCTGCTCCATCAGTGTCCTCTCCATTCTCGTCTTTCAGCGTCTCCTCCTCTACCCCCTCCTCATCCTCACTCTTTATACAAACACGGATAAAATCTTGGAGTGGTTCCTGTTTGATTTTCACTTCCTCTGGTTCCTTCTTAATGTGGAGAGGATCTGAGCTGGTGTCTTCTGAACTTTGGACACCTGAAGGACACAAAACAAGACTGTCATTTACAATCATGATCTTTTAAAGAAGTCATTGCAGAAAATATCCAGACAGTGGCACAATTCATGCAGCTTTAATTAAACATTAGTATTGTTGTCATAGCGATTAAGAATGTAAACTTAAATATTATATCTTTTTTGAGTCGTGAAAAGTCCTCAAAATGTCACATATGTATCAACTGATTAAGATATAACCAAGTACATATTATACTAACACTTTTTACTTAAAAAGTCCCGTGTTTTCATTAAGCATTATAAATTATGCAACTCCACAGTATACCATGTTTTTTTTGTCACTAAATTTCATACCGTCCCATCCCTATGCACAATATATAATTATAATATAAGATATATATTAGGGCTGTAACAATATCCAAATTTCACGATACGATATTATCACTATATGCATCTCAAGGTATTTATTGCGATATTTTGAAGAGGCTGATATAATTGCAGATAGGACACTTTTTTGCTTTTAAAATACCTTGACAAGATTTTGGTGTGAATTATTACTGTCAAAATCCCAAGAATTCAAGTAAAAAACATAACTTCATGTTGTCTGCACTGAAATGAATCGTGGGATATGTAGTTCACTATATTTATAAATTGTTGCTACTATAAAACCATGCATTTAAACAAAGAAACTTTTCCGGTGGTATGCGACTTGCTTGTTTCCATGGAGATGTTAGTGCTTTCTTTGAGATGTTTCTTGGATTTGAGACGCTAAAAAACATAGCTGTTGCGTCACTGTCTCGAAAGATAGATCTGACCTTGTCTCCATGGCAGTAGATATATTTAATGCCAGACGGTGGAATATTCCTGAGTAAACTATAACATCTCCATAGAGACGAGACCCTTCACCAGATAAGTTACTATAAGTGCATATTTTTAGACAGAAATATATTGTGAAACTTTTGACGACACGATATCATGATATTTTGGTTTATTTTGGTTTTATATATTGTTACATCCCTATTGTAGACCATTCAACCTTGTCTTGCATTTATTCAATTACAGTGTACTGCTAAAAATACCTTTAAAATGTAATTGTAATCTTAGTATGTAGGCTTTCTTCTCCACAGATCTGACTAGTAACTTGATTTGTGCACCAGAAAAGTTTCATAATGCACCTTTAAATAAACTACAGTAATCTCCATTCAGTTTGTGGTTTTTTTCCCAATAGAGTTACAGATATTGCTGCAACAATGAACATGAACAATGCACAGCAGGTGGTTTTTACCTTTGCATTCTTGATTGGCTTCAAACTCACTGGACACACTGCAAGACAATAACATAAAGGTTTGTAAACACGTAGGATATTACATTGCGGAATTTGTACTTAATAAAAAATGATAAACGTATATTCTTTCTCAGGTACGCCTTTAATGGCATGCATGGAGTAATTCTATAGATAATATAATGAGGTACCAACAAGACTATAGTCAGTCAGAGGAACTAGTATTTCGCCCCTTACAAAATAACTATACTCCGAATTTCAAATGCAATCATATCAGTTTAAATTAACATTATTAAGAGTTTATTTATTGTGTCTGTGCATTATTAAATCGCGAATAATCATGAAATGGCGTCTTATTTAAATGTAGTCCGCTGGGCGCAGGGTTGTGCGCTAAATGCGTCCCTTAGCAGCTATTAAACCGACCTCCTGTTCACCTCCTCGGGCTTAAACTCCTCGGGTTCCTCCTTCAGCTTCACTTCTGTCATTTTCACCACGATCGATATGATTAAAATGTCTTATTTTGAGTTTATAGTTAGGCTAAGTGCCCCATGCCAAATACATCGGCCATTCACGCGCTCTTCTTCGGGTTAGCTGGTCGGGTGCGTCCTATTTCTGTTCTCTTGCCTCCTCAAAGCATCCTCAAAGCTTCCTTGAATCCTCAACCCCTCCCACCATAGAGAAATAGCCATAGAAAAGAGAAAAATGTTATTCTCTATTGGCTTTAATTTCCTCATTATTCACGATTGACAACTGTAAATGTAAAATTTGAGAATTGAAGAAAAAAATATATCAGAAATGAGACGCGCCCTACTTTTCCCATATTATATTACTCAACACTGCCATCTACGGCCCAAGTTTAAAACTCTTAAAGAAAATTCCAGTTTATTTCAGTTTGAAATGAAAATATTTGGACAATTTGTTTTAAAAATATATAGCAGATATCTTTCCTTACTTATAATATAGGGCTGATGTACAAAAATGTAAACTTGCCGGACGAATTAGTGTAATTGATGGTTTATGATTATTTCTATGACGGTTTATTGTATAGTTATGATTTTAGAAATGCATGGGAGAAATCTGAGAATGTTTTTATATTTTTCGATGCCCAAAAGCCAAATGTCAACAGTGTCGCTCATCGTTATACGTCATAATTAATCGACTGTTTATGTTCTGAAGACGTGCGGCGTGTGGCTGATTAGTTCACTGTAGTTTTAGATGATTCGGAACAGTTTTGAGTGAATCATGAGCATGGACCTGACCTTCCTGGGCACGGGCTCCGCGTACCCGTCTCCTCACCGCGGGGCCTCGGCGCTGGTGCTGCGGACGGACGGGGAGTGTTGGCTGTTTGACTGCGGGGAGGGAACACAGACCCAACTCATGAAGAGTCAGCTCCGAGCCGGTGAGGACAGAAAAAAAAAAAAAAAAATAAATAAAGTTGGTAGTTAGGATTTTAAACCAATTTTATTCAGTTATCTCCGTTCAGCATGAGGAAGACAGCACAGATTCTGATGAGCCCAAAAGACAACGACAGCTCTCTTAAAACAAATGACAATGCCACTGTGTTTCTTAGTGCTGCTTTACAATTTGGTGCAGACCCAGGGTCACGCGGAATACTTTTAATCAATCATGATTAACTTTTCACATAGGCCTAATAGAAAAGATAATCATTTTAGTGTTTGTCATAGTTACTTCACAAGTTAGTGCAGTATATTCAGATTTATCTTTCTATAATTAAAAGTATCCAGGGGCAGGGACAGATTGAGAGAAGCAGCAGATGGACCACCAGCTTTAATTGTGTGATGTTTGTGTATTGTTTTCACAGGTAGAATCACTAAGGTGTTTATCTCTCATCTTCATGGGGACCACGTGTTTGGGCTGCCCGGTCTGCTCTGCACTGTGAGCCTGAACATGACCTCTGACCCCCCACAGAAGCCTCGCTGTGTGGACATCTATGGCCCCCGCGGCCTCAGGCACTTCCTCAGAGTCACACTGGGGCTGACAGCATCACAGCTGCTCTTCCCTTATGCAGGTGATAATACTGAGCATTACGGCACTTTTTATTTCCATCTATATTCTTATCAATATCAATATCAATATCACAGCAAGCTAAATATATATATTTTTAAATGAAAACTCTGTGTTTTTGAATGAAAAAGGATTTCAGTTATTTTCAATTTAAGTTTTAAAATCTCTCCGTATGAAAAAAAAAAAAAAAAAACTTTGCAGAAATTTTTTCTTTAAAATATAAATGATAAAAATGTGGATGTGAATTAATACAATTCTACATTTACTGCCCCACTGACAACCTTTCCTGTTTTTTTTTTTATTTGGAATGCACAGTTTGCAGCAACATGGCTAACATTTCTTGATCAATGTTGTTTTCCATCTTTTAGTCCATGAACTGGAGCCCACACCTGACCAGAGTCCAGAGGAAGGACAGCTCAGCAGAGAGGTAACTATTCTTATAAATGGCTTTGTAAAATGTGTTGTTAAAACATTTAATTGCACAAATATAATGAATATTCTCTGTATTTCCTTTAGTAATGCTTTATACACATATATTGGCAAAAATCCATTAGAAGTCCCCTTATATTTCACTGCTTTCACCTTTGTGTCGTTGTGTAGGAGACAGCAGAGCACGGGTCCCTCCACCCTCAGGAGCAGGTGGGCCGGAGCGTTGCCCTGGACCCCTGCTCTGACACTTACCTTCTGTTTGAAGACGAGCACTTTGAGGTCAGGGCCTTCAGGTTGTATCACCGAGTGCCCTCCTTCGGCTTCTGTGTCCAGGAGAGAGATCGACCCGGACGACTCAAAACTGAACTGCTCAAGGAACTAGGTACAATAATGATGTTATTTGCTTTATCAGCCATTCATTTTTATATTCACAAATGATTCATGTTAATAATAACTAAATATAATCATGTTGCCAGCTCTTGCTGATCATTTTACAAGTATGTGCACTGTTCATTCATTCCACACTTCACTCACACACCACATCACACTAGACCAGAGGTCTTTAACAGGAGGGCCACAAAATCGATTTGAAGGATGGATGAGGATAAACTGGTTTTCAGTGGTTCTTTTTACAGACCAAGAGTTTGTTTTTCATACCTGACAGTTTTGACTGCTCACTAGCAGTCTTCCTCCGAGTGGAGACATGATGTTGCTGTGACGTGTCCGGTCGGCTGATTTATACAGGTTTCGGTGTTGTCTTCCTACCAGTGGAGGCAGGATGACAGCACCTTCCTCTGACAGACTTCCTCAGGACAGTATCCCAGGTGTGTGAGAGTAAAAAAAGCCCCCTCGTCCCCGTTTATAGTCCCGTAGACACATTTTCGTATTTCGATTGCCGCTGAAACGGCGAAGGCATGCACACGAGCAACAAAACACAAAGCAGAACAGGAACAAATCAAATCAGACATCTCTGACAACTGTAAAATGAGGGAACCACATTATGGACTGGGACGGAGCAAACATCACTGGGACAGAGGAAAATAAACATCGCCGCTGGATTAAAGAGGCAATCGAAATACCGAAACGTGCCCATGGGATGAGGGGGCTTTTACTTTTACACACACCTGGGATACTGTTCTGAGGAAGTTGGACTGTAGATGGTGCTGTCGTCCTGCCCCCACAGGTAGGAAGACAGCACCAACACCTCTCGTGACCACTCTGAGGAAGACCGCTGAGCAAGTTGAAACTGTCAGGTATGAAAGATAAACTCTTGGTCTTTAAATAGAACCTAATAACATAAAATATCTGAAGACCAAATGAACCTCATTGGACTGGTTTTCAGTGAGTTCTGGCTGTTCGCTCCTTCCTCAGGTCTGTCTCTCTCTCTCTTCGTTCCCTTGTTGCTTGCTCCCTGTCAAACTCAGCCTAGATTTTATCTTTTCTTCTAGGCTACATGTGAAGAGTTCCGTTACAGCTTTACTTTTATGCACAGTGGAACTTAACCTCCGTACGCACTACCGCGCATCGGGAAGGAGTGAGGCAAGTTCATTTTACAGGTGCATTAACCAGGCTCCGGAGTCCTCACTCTGCAGCCAGCCTCCTCTCTGTCCACGGAGCGAAGAGGAGAGGAGCGGGCAGTGAACAGGAGAGGAGCGGTCTTTGCTCTCGTTCCTCAGATCAGAATGACCAGAAAAGCTCAGTGTCCTGTATTAAACTCTTGTCCGTGTGCTGTGGTTTAATGCGATCATTTTAAAACGTCACACTTTGAGCCCATTTTCCGTGATGTCGTTGCTCCATTGATCTGGACTTCTCAGAGTCACTGGGAGTGCAACAAAGTGCAGCTTAAACTTCAGGCCTGAGTGGCTTTGGTCAGGCTTTGGCTTATTTCTGCCATGGAGCGAGTTGAGGCTTAAACTGTTAGTTCCAGTTCAGGATTTCAGGATAAGCCTGGACTTGTTAAGCGACTTCGATGGAATACCCCCTAATATTGAATGTACAATAACAGAGGTGCTATGTTTATGCACCACACTAGGCCCAATTTAATATATAACACAATTGTAAGACATATATATAGTTGTGGGTCGCTGGCCTGAAAATTGTTGAAGACACATTCACATATTACCTGCACTAGGCAATGTGTGAAACTTATTTAGAAGCCTTTATTAGCACAAAAGTGTCTTTCCAGTGAAGTATTCCCTTCATTCCTTAAGTCTTCTAACCTGTTGTCAGTAATATCCACGTGTAAATCACTGTTTGCATCTTTAAATATGTATTATTTTTTGCATGATGTACAAGATACGTAATAATACTGAAGAACATTCCAGGAAAAGCAATAACCATGTCCATCTATAGGGACACAAGCAGGTGGTGGATCCCTCACCATAAAAGTGCTTTTTTTAAAGTCATGTTGTATTTGTTAGAGAATGCAAATGAGACACATTAATGTAAAAACACTAAATAATCACCACTGGCTAGTAACCATTTGTTGTCCCACATAGTTTCACTTACAGGAAATAACAGCCTGTGTATTTTATTGCTCTTTGTTCGTGTGTCAGGCGTTAAACCAGGCCCGCTGTACGGCCGTCTGAAGTCTGGACAGAGCCTGACTCTGGACTGTGGGCGTGTGCTGACCCCTGCGGAGGTTCTCGAGGACGACATTCCAGGGAGAAAGGTGTGTGTCCTGGGCGACTGCAGCTCTGTCCTGGGCCTGTCCCATCTGAAACTGTGCTCCGCTGCGGATATTTTGGTTCACGAGGCCACGCTGGGAGACGAGCAGCAGGAGAAGGCAGTAGAGCACGGACACAGCACCCCAATGATGGCAGCTGCAATAGCCCGAGCGTGTAACGTGCATAAACTGGTGTTATATCATTTTAGTCAAAGATACAAGCCCCTCTCTCTGCAGAAAGAAGGAGAGGGGGACGATGTTTGTGAACTGAAGAGACAGGCTGAAGAAGCTCTGCAGGGCACTGGCACTGAGGTGGTGTTAGCGGAGGACTTTCTCACTCTGCAAATACGACTAAAAAGGACTAGAAAGTAGCAACAGGTATTGTCATTTCTCTTCACTTTTTTTCACTGCTCTGTTTTTTTGCAATGACTTGTCTATTTTGGTAAGGTTGCAATTGTGACTAGTCATCGATTTAAATAATCACATATTTGCTGTAATGTAATATTTGATTGTAATCTGGACTATGCAAAACCTAAAACACATGTGAACTGATGTTTTATAACAAAGATGGTAACAATGTTAAATCAAAACAGCAAAAAAGAATTTTAAAAATGGTAGCTTTTCATCAAATATACATGTTATTTGTAAATATTCACTACCTAGAAGCTTTCGAGCGCCACAATTTGACCTTTTGTTGGTTTTAAAAAGATTTAAAAATTCAGTTTCAAAATTCGCCAACAGATTTTCCTTCAGGGACAATAAAGTTTACCTTAAACTTAGTAGAAATAATCATTTGACTAATCAACTCATTGGAGAAATCATTGCCGACTAGTTGACAACAAAAATTTGTTGCAGCTGAACTATTGTAACTATTTAGGCAAAATGGTAATATTGTGAATTTACAGTATGAAATGATAAAAATAATTTGACATTTTAACTAAAGATGACTGCAGAAATATTGTTACAAAGAACTACATAATTCTTTTGCTCTTCTGAGGTGCTAGCTGGCAACATGGAAGAAACCTTTAAATATTTTTAATACTAAATTAACTAAATCATACATTTAATATAGAGTTGTGCAATATGGCAAAAATTATGCAAAAATTACAAACATGTCATTTGATTGCACAGCCCATAGTTCATAGTATCGTATAGCCAGACTGGCGCCACCTAGTGCCTCCGCTCAATTTCATTTCTCTCCAGTGACTAGGTCAGGAATCAAAATGCAATAGACGGTTCGCAAAAACCCCGGAAGTGCAAGTTCGGGCACCAACCAATCAGCGAAGAGTCATATTCAGTGTTGTCAACGATTCCCGAGATCAAGAATCTAAAGCTGGAATAAAAAGAATGTTTGGTGAATCTTATCAAGGGGAAAGACGTTATTCTAACACTGCGAGGTCAGACAGTTTGTACAAAGTGAAATGAAGTAAAACCGGCTTGAAGTATCAAATGCCTTTCAATACTAATATTGTTTCAGGAAAATTATTTTTAAAAAGCTGATTTTTAGTAAGCCACAATCCTTTTTTTCTCAGCTGAAGAGTTATGAACATGAAAAAGTCTTAATCTCCACCATCCACGAAAGGTCTGTCAGAGCATTTTAGGGAATAGACAATTTTTTGATGTTGTATCATTTGTTCCCTGCATAAAACTTGCATGTTAAAATATTTTAACCAATGTTTATCTAGGAAATTCTTTTACTCAGATTGTTCAGACCATTAAAATTTGTGAGAGGAATTGCACAATTGTATGGATAAGTATTTCTGGCCCAGGGTCCCTTGAGTAAACTATCTAATAATGTCATATGCAGCTGTTCTGTTTGCCTGTAGACTTCACTAGCAAAAAGTTTCCCAAGACCAAAGCCGAGAATATGAATTAAGTTTGATTAATATATTGTTTGTTTTTTTCTTTTTTTGATAAATAAAAGAGGAAGACAAGTGTTTTCGAACCTTTACCAGAGATTTATTTCTGGATCTGTACACAAGGTATTAAAGAACAACAGAAAATACAAAATAAAGTTTACCAAAAGAAAAAAAAAAAAAAAAAAAAAAAAAAACAATGCGATGTTTATGTACAATTATTATAAACAATAAAGATAGCTTCTGGAACATTTCTTATAGTGAAGTTTGATTGTCTATATTTCTGGATATACATTTTTAGAGTTTTGTAGGTTTTTTATTCACAAAGGTACGTGTTGTTTTCAAAGGACTTTTTTTCCAAAACCACAACTGCTATTTTTCCTTTTTTTAAACTTCAAAACACAATACAAAATATAAAATAAAAGGTGTTTAGTGCTTGTTTTGCACACAAGTCTCATACCAATAAAATCACATTTTCGAGAGTTCACAGGGTGGTGAAAAAAAACCTACTTCTACTACTTTTAATGGCCTTTACATTCGAAAATCTTTATACAAACCACAGGTGAAATAAATAAAGAACTGCACCGCTAAAGCTGGGAGAGCCTGGAGGACTGCATTTAAGAAAAAAAAACAATATGGCTCCCCATTAGTTTCGAGCAGCAGTCGTCCCTTTAACCATCAAGACAATTAAGAGACAACATTTTCAACAATTCAAGAAATCTGGGAGAACGAAATCAACTGTTACACTGCGAATCGAAAACACAAAAATTTCAACACCATAATGGGTAAATCTTTTTCAGTGACGTGAGCTAGCATGCGTGATTTAGCCGTGTCGTCGTGGTAACCGGGCAAATATTTTTTCCCCTTCTTTTTAAAAATGGAAAAAACCGAAACGAATCGAAACACCCAAACGAAAATGAAAAATCCAAAAAAGATCTGTACATATCTACAAATTATTGCCTTTTACCAAGAAATTAAAACTTTTGTATCAACATAGATTCACAAGTGTAAGAGGTCAGTTATAGACTTTTTAAAGGCTATCTGCTAAGTATTTACATGAGAAGCAAAGAACCAAAAAAAAGTGAATATATTCTCTGACTGGTTTTAACTTAAAATGGGATGCAGGGACATTAAAGGAGACAACGACATAATGGTGATTTACATGGCGGACATGAGGTACCCCTGAAAACAAACATAGCACAAATATGCATAGATAAATTAAGTAAACACGACTACTGCATCCAATCCACAATGACCCGCTAAACATGATACAATTCACAATTAAGGACTTCAGTCGAGAGAAATAACATAATGCTACTTAGAAAATGGCGATCGACAGAATATACAAAGTTCTGGCAAAGGAAGTAACCATAAATAAATACTGCGAGCAGGTTCACCCATCTTTAAGTGGAAAGAGCATCAACTGATTAAGGATTACAAGTGGGATTTGCCTCAAAAGCGCAGAAATAACTGATAAATGTAATGCGATAAGATACTGTTTATGTCAATGGCTATCAGAACATTTCAGGTGAGAATACTGCCATTAGTTTGCCAACGCTGGGAACTCACCAGGCATGGTTTTCAAACTGAAAATGGATAAAACTACAGGTGAGATTTGGGTTCAACTTCTAAAAAAAAAACAGACATTCACAAGTTCCAGTTTGGCCACTTTGAACAGTTTAAATTTTAAAGTAAACGCAGCAGCTACACACGCGCTTCCACAGGAAAGAGAGAGGGAGGAGGAGGAGAGAGGGAAGAGGAGAGTAAGGAGAATGCCTGAGCAGCTCGGGATCAGCCCCCTGCTTTAGGCCCAGCTCCACTCGACGCTAGTGTTACGCTCAAACACAAAAAAATGAGGTGACCCAAAAGTACCTGTAAACCAAACACTAAAAGTACCACTTCAAACCACACACAACAGCAACACTAAAGAGGAGGACTAAGCTAATTTGGCAGCTGAACAGAATGGCAGGATAAGAAGGAGCTCTGGAGATGTTGTGTTTAAATATGAGGAAGATACACAACTCTCCGACTGCAGCCTCGGGCCCCACTGTACATGGACGTTACACATCAAGAACGCAACTAAATAAAATTAAATGGCTATATAAACTCTTGAGAGAAATCAAGATTTAGTTCTATATGGTAGACATCACTGATGTCATATTACACAAATGAAAAAGTAGATTCATATACATATATATAGATATATATAATAGAATTTAAACAAATGGGATTCTCCACTGGGGTCAGTCTTATGTACAATAGAAGACAGTTATCACTCGGACTGAAGTGCTGCGGTGTGCGGCGTGTGGTGCCGCGCGTGTGCGCTCAGAAACCCGTTGGGCTCCGCGCTGTTGGACAAACTGCCGAAGTCTGTGACGGAGACGGCCATCTTGGCCCCGGTGATTCTGTGGTGATGAGTCGAGCTTCGCCGCGACTCAAAGTCCAGACTGCTCACCGACACGTCGCTCATGAAAGAGTCGGGCAGCGCCATCTTGAGTCTCTTGGACGGCCGCTCACAGCCCAGGTCCGAGTGGTAGAAGCCCGTGTCCAGCATGTTCAGACAGTCGGGGTCTCCTCCGTTGGATGGGAAGCCCAGGGGCTCCTCGTGGTTCAGGGGTCCGCGGTGCAGAGTGTCCAGAGGAGTGAACGGGTATGAGTCCAGACAGCTGACCTCGCCTGGGCTGCACACTGTGGCTACAGTGTTACTCAACGCTGTAACAGAGACCACAGTCAGGAACACTGATACAAACGCATAAAACACTTTCAGTGATTATCAATATAAAACACAACGGTGCCCCCTACAGGTCATCTCTGATCAGAAAAACTTACACGTCAATAAAAATGTAATTCATGTAATACATCAATGTCAAAAAATGTCTGCCACTTGATTCTGTGTTCATTATCAAGATGACAAAGTCAAAGTGTGTACGTGTTAGAATGGTGCAGGTGAGTGATGCGTGCAGACAGGAGCGCACCTGTCAGGTCGCTGGCTGTGATAGAGTTGAGTAGACTGAGCTGCTGGTCTGTGGTGGTCTCCAGTCGTCCCCCTCCTCCGGCCCCAGAACAGACCGACGAGGAGCTGTCGACGGCCAGACCCTCGGCCTCGTCCACCAGCCGGTCCATCAAGTCTCTGCAGGAAACACAATACAGTCAGGTCAACACTTTCAATTTAATTTAACAAAACAATAAAAGGGTCTCCACAAGTCTTTTTTCCTATGTATTTGAAAAAATTTCCCCATTACTGATATACTGTATAAGCAGCACTTGAAATCTAAATAAATCTGCAGTGTACGGTCTACATTTAATTGTGAAGTGTTACGATTTAACTCCGCTCTCATCTTTGAAAATTGTGAAAGGTGTTCCTAAAGTCGTGGGGAAAATGAAGATAATATGCGTAAGGTAAGTGAAGAATAACTTTGGACCACTACAAATAAGTAATATTTAACCAAGTAAGTAATAACTATAAGAATTCATTTGGGTTCATCATTTGAACTAGTTTATCCAATATAATTTCATTAATGCATTATGTTACATGGTTTAGTCTAATTTAAGACCTAGTTTAGTCTGATTTTAGACCATGTTTAGCCAAAATTTTGATCTGATATGACCTGAAGTCTTGCATACATTAGGAAAAAAGCTTTATTTTACTTTATTTGCCACAAATTCTGAAGGCTTTTTGAAGTTACTCAAACTGTTAAGTCTGTGCTTAGTTAAATGTATTACTTCACTTATCATGAATACTGTATTTGTAAGTTATTTTTTACTTTCAGTGAACAAACAAAAGCACTCACGTTACACCGGGGTAGCTGCTGTATTTCTTTTTGCCGAATCGATTCTGTTGCACAAAGAAGTCAAAGCGCTCGGACTTCTTCCACATGTAGTAAAACGCCACACACTCGGCTACAGTTCTGGTCGGGACCTAAGAAAGAACAATTTAATTAGAAATAGTTTGGTTAACCTTTACACACTTTTCTCCTTCTTGTGGAAACTGTTCGTACTTTGTGTTTTTGGATGAGGTGAAAGTTCTTGTCGTACATCTGTAGTGCATGTTCAAAGTTTTTACACTCCTCTTCTGACCATGGAGGGGATTTTTCTGAAATAAAAACAAACAATTAGGGATACTACAATTAATAGGAATCATTGTGAAGTCAATTAATAAAATGTAGAGCTGTAGTACACTAAAGAAAAGTCCTGCCAATCGATTAGTTCACCAAAAAGGGGTGTGGCAAAAACTCTAAATATTATACATCTGACCCAAACTGCAGTCATAAAACTACACCTGCACAGGATTTCAGGCACAAAAAAAATAAAATAAAAATCTATTTGACACACTTTTTAAATATGAGAATACTCTTTGGTACATGTTTGCACAATTGAAATAATAGTTTGAAAATTCATGGGAAAATAACTGCTGTTGATTGTGGTAATCCTACACAAAATTCTCCTAACTATTTCATTGCAAGTTAAATTTTTACTCCTCCAGGTTTGACAAAACTTAAAACAATATTATCGGAAACTATTAGAATATTCAGTTGACCAAATAACATTGTTTTAATTAACTAACATAACCTACATGTACATACTCCATCCACACGTACCTTTAGAGGATTTGAGGTGACTGCAGTATCTCTCCAATGCTTCCCTTGTGTTGTAGTTGCACTTGACCAGCTCATGCAAAGCCTATAAAAAACAAATGTCCACAAATACTCAATAACACTCAAATGAATGGTTTGATCTAATCCTTGTTGCCGTTGGTTACCTCCACCAATTAGTGCTTTTATATTAATGCATTCACTGGAGCAATAAGCATTTGATAAGATTGACATTTGTTTGAATAGAAGTTAAGGCAGAACTTAACTTGAACAACTGCAAGAATATTTTCAGGCAAAAGTCTGGGCTCACACTCTCGTTCAATGTTTTTTTATACGTTTGCTATTTTTGCATTTTGTACACCAGCAGAGGGAATCACATTAAGTAAGAAGTATGGAATTGTATAGGAAGGAAAATTCTTTAAATTACTTCTTAATATAAAAAATATATATATTTTACAACCAAATCCTCAAATTAGCCTAAATATTTTTTTGACTAAGAGTTGTTACTTTGATGATCTGGTTGTAAAAAATAAAAAATACTTAGTCATATAACT